AAATAATAGATATAAAGGCTTAATTGAGTTCATCTTTATGTAAACATCAACTAAAATTGAAAAAACACACAAATTGAATTGGAAAATAAATTAATATAACTACAATATTATTCCAACAATTTAACTGAAACAAAATAGGAAAGTTATTTTATTTTCATCATTGCCAAATTAAGATTTTTAAGATGTATTAGATGTATTGCCTACAGTAAATCAGAGATGCCCAAACTAGGGCCCATGAGCCAAAGTTGGCCCTTGGTTAACTTTTGATTTGGCCCGCCATCCTGTCTGAGAAGAGAGGGAGAACTATGAGGATGGTGTAGAGATTGTCATTTAAATTTACTGTAACCTTTTATTTGTTTGTTCAGATTAAGTTTATGGATAGAGGACAATGCAAAGACTTTGGTGAGCAAATCAAGGCTTAGGCAGATTCTGCTTGACCAATGTATTCAACATTGAACTTTACTGTGTTATCAATGTGATTATGTTTTTATCACAACAAGTAATAATTAAAAAAGTTATACAAGTTAATACAATTCAAAGTAATTACCCATGGCATTCATTCATTTTCTTTTCGGCTTAGTCCCTTTATTAATCCGGGGTTCCCACGGAAGGATGAACCACCAATTATCCTGCACATTTTACGCAGCGGATGCCTCTCCAGCCGCAACCCAACTTTGGAAAACATCCAAACACTCTCATTCACAGACATACTGTACACAACGGACAATTTAGCCTACCTAACTCACCTGTACCACGTCTTTGGACTTGTGGGGCAAAATTGAACACGAGGAGAACATGCAAACTCCATGCAGAAATGCCAACTGACACAGCCGAGGCTCAAACCAGCGACCTGCTTGCTGTGAGGCGAACATGCTACCCACTGCGACACCGCATCGCCATTACACATGGCAGCTTTAATATAAAATAGTTTGGTATATTTATATGTGGCCCACATCTATCACAGATATTTGGTTTTTGGCTCTTCAAACAAAAATATTTGGGCACCCCAAGTCTAAAATAACTAACTAATAACATCCAAACAATAAAAACTACAACAGTATTAATACAGACTATCCACAAACTGACACTTTTAGGCAGCACAGAGGTGTTTGTCCTTCATATGAAAATGTTTTAATTTTAAGGAACAACATTTTTCCCCCATAATACATGTACATTCAAGGTAAATGATACATCCGTTACAATACATACTTCATTCTGATGTTGGCGTCCAAACAAAAATGTACATATATATTTATTATTTATACTATATTTTAACAATTAGAAACCAGTGCACAACGTTGATAAGGGACATAACAGTCAACAAGTAACAAAGGTTTCCCACATTCAAATTGTACAGCTCTCCATGTTAGCACAGTCTCCAAAGTAAAAAATAGACAGCTTGACAGCAGAGTCCTCGTAGAAATCAGGTCTTTTCTCTTTATTTACAGTGCAATAATACACTCGGAGAGGAGGATAGCAAAATGATTCACAGTAGAAATAAAAAGCCATGTTTAGTCTGTTATACACCTGAACAACAGTCTTTGAGTTATGCATTATGAGAAGGATGACGACGTTTTTTTTTTTAGAGGCTTTGGTATACGAGCTCCTGTCGGAAGTAAACCTTTCAACCCACAGCACCAGAGATTGACAAGATTTGAGGCATCAGAAGACCACTTCTCCCATAATCTCTGTCAGTTGGTAGAAAAAACGACAGTCTATATATATTTTGTTGTTGGGGTCATTTAGGCTGTTCAGAAGTGCAAACTACTAGCACACAGAATTCATACACTGAAAAATGCTGGGTTTCACACAATTAATTTGTGTTGGGACAACATGAGGGATTTAAGTTAACTTAGTTTTTACAAATAAAACTGGACTGAACATAAAACAATTAAGTTGTCACAAAAAAAAAAAAACCTTAAGAATTGTGTTGATAACCCTGATAGCCAAATGTGCGTAAACTTTCTGACTAGCGTTGACACTGTATTATAGCATGCAATAGGATATTTGTTTTTCTAGTCTGATCTGACAAGGAAACGTAACAATTTTTCATTATCTTAGTTTAGTGGCTAGTTCGTACACTGTAAAAAAAATCTGTTATTTTATGTTTTTTTTTCCCAGCAGCTGGGGTGCCGTAAAATGACGGACGTTAAATTATAGAAATTTACAGTAAAATAACGGACGTTAAATGACAGAAATTTACCGGAAATTTAAATTTAAGGAAGTTTCTGTATTATAACCTCTGTAATTTTACAGTACATTTCTTACAGTACATTTCTTAACAGTCGTTATTTTACATTTTTTTCTGCAGGAAAAAAGACTTAAAATAACGGAACAGTGTACGAGTTCAGTCATTTTAAAAAGGAGACGTGGCACCAAACCCCACCCCTAAACCCAACCGTCATTGGGGGAAATGCAAATCTTAATTGTACTTAATTGTAATTGTTGACTTTGTAATTGTAATTGTTGACTTTGGACTGAAGGAAGGAACCGGGAAACATTCTTGAGCACAGTGGGAACATGTAAAGTCTGCACAGATACGTCAATTGGCCTGGTAAGGACTTGGACCAGTGACATTCTTGCTGTGAGGCAACAGTGCTAACCACTGGCCATGCCGCCATATCAAAGAAAAGGTAAAGAGGGGAAGGTGTAAAAGGGGGGATTCTTCAAAACGAATACACCTGAGGTAAGAAACTCTAGTTATTTATAGTGAGTTAGGAATAATATGATTGGTGAATCATGTGTCAGCTAACGCGGGACCAGTCGTGGTCAATCATAAGCATGTTATCCTCTCAAAATAAGTTCATAAATAAAGTTCACTACATCAAAAAGTGACAAATTGGTTTTTCATCCTAAGGGAGTAGTTGCCCCCCCAAATTATTATTCACTATTTTCTTGCCCTCAAGTGCTTCCAAACCTTTACGGGTTTCTTTTTCTTTTCTTTTTTTTTTTTGAAAAAACAAAACAAAACAAGCTATTTAGGAGAAGATTGATTAACAGTAACCATTAATATCTTTAATATATAAATACTACCGACGTCAGTGGTTACAGGTTTCCAGCGTTCTACAAAATATCTTGTCATCTTTCAACAGAAGAAAGAAACTCAATAAGGTTTGGGCCAAGTAAAGGTTGAGTAAATGATAACAGAAATTTCAGTTTTGGGTGAAGTATCATCTCTGACAATAGTTTCTATTTCTGCAATGTCATGGTTGAAGAACAGAATAACATTGTGTCCTAACTACATGTGACATGACAAGATTCCTGCAACAAGCAGTTTATCTGTTCATACCAGACGTGACATGAAAATTTAAATACCAGAGCCATTTTTTATAACAAGTTTATAATCAATTAAATTTATTCTACCTCTTTAATATAATTAAAAGTACATGTTGAGTGGCTGATATTTGTTAGTTTGCATTGAGAGTCATACTAATGTTTGCTAGATTTCTTGGTCCCACTTTATTTTAAGTGTCCTTAACTAATGTGTACTTACATCAAAATATAATTACAATGTACCTAATGTGTTCATAACGTATTGAAGAACATGTCTGGTGGTATATGGTTAGGGTTGGGGACAGTTTTGGTGGTATGGGTAGGTTTAATCGTGGATTAAGGTGTAAGGGATGGATTAACAGTGTAATTTTAAATGGAATTACAGAAATTGAATACAAGTGTAATTACAGGCAGATTTTTAATCAAGCAAAAGTACAGCGTAAAAACATGTATTTGCACTGTAAGCACATTGTACAGTAACTCATTTTTAATTTCAGTGAAAGTACATATTAGTTAAGGCCACTTAATATAAAGTAGGGTCAATTTTTTCCAGATCTGAAGAAATATGTCTGTATCTGCGTTCAGTGTGGCAATGAATGTCAAGTATAATGGTATTCAAACTTACATTAGTAGCATTTAACACTGAATAAAGCACATAATCAGCACCTGAGGTGATCATTGTCTTATGCTGTTGTTCATCGACAAGAATTAGAAACCATTTCTAAAATAGAACTTTTGTGCGTCACTGTTGCAGATGGTTAGGAACAAAAATCCATTTAACATGGAAAAGATCGTTTCTATCACTTGTCGCACAACTTGCACCATTGTGTCACATGTAGCAAGGACACGGTATAAACAAAGTTGGACAATGATCATCTAAGGTGCTGATTATGTGCTGTATTCAATGTTAAATGCTACTAATGTAAGTTTGAAAACCATTATATGTGCCAATTATTGCCATGCTGAACGCACCAGCAGACAGTTTTACCTCAGATCCTGACAATACAATAACTAGCAAATATACAGTTTGAAAAAGAACATAAGAACTTTGATTCTCATTGTAAACCAATAAACATCAGTCACTCAGCATGTACTTTTAATAATAATAATAAAGAGATTTATTATGTATTAAGTACATTAAAAACCTACCATTCTGTTTGGAGTTCAGTTCACTGTTCTGCACTTGTGAATGGCTCAGCTATTGTTCTGTAAAATTTTCAGCTGTATTAACAAATTTCTGAACAACACACAACATGTTCAATTTCTGTTTGGAATGTAACTGATTAATTAGCATAGTTGCTATTTTATATGCAGTATACTTATACAACAGTTCTGTCTGGTTTTCGAATCTGACTGGCTGATAGCCGTGTGATATTCAGCAATATCAGAACTTGTACAGCCTCTTTACACGTGTATTACTCTGCCCACATAGAGTGACAGCAGACCAGTAAACTAACTACAGTTTGACAATTGTTGCAGCTGTTGGACAATATAATATACTTTAGAGGCTTTTTTAGACGAGAATGTAATTGTTTAGATTGCAACTAAGCAGTTTTTATATAGGGATAGTGCCTATTTAAAAAAATGTACAATTTCGAAGAGACAGCGCATGGCATTTCATGCCATTCAGCCATATAATCTTAAAATATAGCAAAAATCACCTGTTTTGTCATCATTTTAGACAATAAGCTAGAGAATCAAATACTAGCTCTTAAGTGACATTTGTGAAGTAGCAACGGTTTCTGCTGTTCTGGCTGCTGATGTGAAGGAATGGTGGAAGAAAGTAGTTCTTCGTACAAAAAGGATTTTTAGACTCTCCGTGGTTCATTCTCTTTATATATACAAATTATGCCCTCAAACTGTTGTTTAAAGCAATATCACACTCGTAGCAGTGCCTTATTAGTGTCAGCACTGGTGGAACACTAAGGATGCACGCCTCCCACTAGTGCTGATATACAGCCATATCACACTGCTACGAGTGTGACATTGCTCATTTACATATTTGAATGGCACAAAATGTACAGTAAAGTGCCTCATTCTACACAAAGATTATTAAATAGTAATCTGTATAAACTGTTCACAATTTATCTGTATATTCAGTCAGCTAGTCTTCTGCATTCTGAACAGCCTTAGGCATTAATTACTTGGAAGAAGGGGAAGACAGTATGGCAGTGAATTACACTTAAAATGTGCAAGAGTGCGCGGTGACACATTTGATGATGAACAACCGTATTATGCTGAAAAAAGGTCAGATTTAGTAACCTCCTTTGTTTCATTTCAAATCCAAATTTGTTTTGGAATGTGTTTCAGTCTGAACAGTCAGATCAGATTTCAAGTAGTTCTTTTAGATGATTCAGGACATGAAAAGTATGAATACAGATTGGGTAAGGAAAAATAACTGGGTTTATGTACACTAATGTTCAAAAGTTTGGTATGTTTATCATGTTATCATAACGCCTGCATTTTGTTGATTAAAAACACAGGGAAAATGGTAGTATTGTGAAACATGATTACAATTAAAAAATAACCTCATTTGACTTGAATTTATTTAATTCTGATAAAAAATGTTGAATTTCTGGAATCATTATCCCAGTCTCCAATCATTGTAATATGCTGATTTGCTGCTCAGTGCTGAAAATGATTAAATATTTGTTTATTTTTGTGAAAATTATGATCATTTTTACAGTATATTGTTATGAATAGAACAGAATATATTTGTAAGAGAAAGCTTCAGTAACATGGCAGATTTAATGCAGTTTTTCTCAGCAAATAGTAATTTTTTTTTATAATCAACAACACATGAGCTACAAACTTTTGAATGATAGTGTATGTGCAGCATAAACAAAGCCTGAAGGTAGTGGATAAAGCCAACCAGCATCTAAAAGACTAGTTAGTCTCTCATCATGTGGAAGCAGTTTTGCCGATCCGTGGAAGAGCCTGGACCCTTTCCAGACTTCGGGACACTGAGGGAAGTTTGATGACCCCTGAAAAAACACCTCAACCCCTTCGCTTCGGCCTCTCTGGAGCATCACGGGTGTCTCAAGGTCAAAGTGCAAAACGGACACAAATTCTGAAATGTGTTACAAAGGCAACGTCGACTACTTTTATTTCCGAGATCATTGTCATCATCACCATAGACAAACCGAAAAAAGGGGCTAAAGACGGTGAAACGATAAAAACGAGGCTTAAATAAATACTAGTAGAAGGTAATTATTGGCACAGTCCTTTTGGTCACACTGTTTGGACGACTTCTTCGTGGCTTAGTTATTATTTAAGGATTCAAAACTGTGCTCAAACGAATCTGCCCGACGACAAACAACACCACAGTCAGTCACCGCTAAAAGACTTCTATTTGGCGGCCTTTAGGGAAAGGAAATGCTTGTGAGCCCAAATAGGAGGCATCTCATCTCTTTATAAAAGCAGATCTAAAAGGACCTGATCAGTGCGGCGTGTACAGCAAGAAACGGAAATGAAAACCTCAGTCACAGTGTGCTCAAACACCACGAGCATGCAGACAACGCCAGGTCTGACACAACGGCATTCTGTGGCAGGCAAACGACAGAAGAGTCCAGACGTCCAGGCAGATCCAGGACAGTGGAAACAAGAGAGAGAGAAAGAGAGATAGAGAGATTTTGGTGGGCGGCTGCCTACTCTCGTTCTCACTTGTTCTCGATGAGGGTCTGCACCTTGTGTACCAGCTCCCGCGCCATTCGGAGAATGTGCTGCACGTCGTGGCGCTCCGCCATCTCTGTCAGAGAGGAACACAAAGAAGACTATGATTCAGTGACTGACTTTACCACATGGCCACATGCCGCTGCTATACTTTAAAGAAACGCTCAATATTTTTTTTTTTAAAGAATTGTGGTCATTTTTCAACTTCCTTACAGAGTTCATCTGAGTTTTATGGTTTTTGAATACATTCAGCTCATCTCTGGGTGTGGCACTTTTCGCTTAGCTTAAATTAAATTAGACCATTAGCGTCTCACTCAAGAGTTAAAAAAAGTCAAAAGTTACATTGTGTAGCTTCTAAGACCAATGGAAAATGACAAGTTTTATTTTCTATGTTGACATGGCTAAGAACTTAACTGTCCTTGTGCACAGTAGCACAAGAATATTATCAACTTTCAAAAGGGGTAAAACTACTTCTTCTATTCTATTCTAGCCAAATATGTCTTTCTCCAGAAGAAAAAAAAATATAGGACATTTCTGTAAGCATTACCTTGCTCTGTTAAACATAACTTGGGAAATATTTGAAAAATAATTAAACTTTCAGAGGAGGGCTATTCATTTTGTCCTGAACCATATGACCAACATGAAACCAATATGAAGTTTATTATTCATCCTTTGGCTTAGCCCATTTATTCATCAGGAGTCGCCACAGCAGAATGAACCACAAACGTATCCAGCATATGTTTTACACAAGTGTTTTCCAGCTGCACATACCAACCACACATACACTACAGCCAATTTAGTTTATTTAATTCACTTATCCCGCATGTCTTTGGACTGTGGGGGACACCAGAGCACCTGGAAGACACCTACACCAACACGGCAAGAACATGCAACTCCCCACAGAAATGCCAACTGACCCAGCCGGGACTTTAACCAGTGACTTTCTTGCTGTGACGTAACAGTTCCAACCAAATGCTAACATAATTATATTATGTTAAAAAAAATCAAATAGATGTACATTTTACAAGACAATTGAGGGGAATTATTGACTCAGGTCTGCCTGCATCACTTAAAGTGGTTTTAAATAGTAGCCCTAATCCCAACGCCTAACCCTAAGTCCAATTCAATTAGCATAAGTAACCTAATCTGCTTGTTAAGTGGGACGTCATGCAAATCAGCTTCCGGGTCCTAGCGCTCTATCAAACTGTAGATTTATATATAAATATTTATATATCTACGGCTAATATCAGATGGCCAGAAAGTGATTCATTTTGGTAAAATTTTGGTGCTTGTGATGCAAGTCCAGAAATCGATGTGTACACTATGATTTCATATAAAATTCACTTTAATGTGTGATATGACTAAAAAGTGATCATAAACCAAAGTTTTTTTCGATTTGAACAAATATAGCAGCTTGGTCCCGGAAACAGTATTCCTTGCGTCACCGTTACGTCATGACTTAACAAGCGGATATCAAACTTGAACTGTTAGTTAGCCTGACACCACTGATTTTATTTAGCATTGCAGTATTTGTAACAAATCTAAAATTAGCCAGCAAACCGTTTCCCAAATATAACTTAACATAAACACAAGTGACTCTAAAAAGCTGGCAATTTTCTGGGTTTGAGCTGTTCATTCTGGTTAATGATTGTAAGACAGAAAGACAGATGTAAACGGTATAATCAGTATGTAAACAGTCTAAATCGTTGGATTTCCTCTGTTGAGTTCACAAACCATTAAAGAACTTGATGATGTCAGTGAAGTCCATGTTGTTGTCCAGGATGATGTCCCGGTAAACCTCCACCAGAGCCAGTGCAATGAACAGGACAAAGTGCTTAGAGGATATACGAGGGGCAACCCAGATCACCTCCCAAACTGCAAACACATCCTCATACAGCAGCTCTGAGACAAAATGAAAAAATTATATGATCATGTCAAGTCATGACAAAGGATGTTTTTATCTTACATATCTTACTCAGTAGCCCCTATCTCACATACAGATCTTTCCAGAAAATTACCAGCAATTTTCCATAAAGGTCTGTATGTGTGAACAGGCCCAATTTGAAAATACTGATAAATTCTTTCAAATTCCGCAATTTTCGGGTATCACTGTGCAAATAATGTGCGAATTGACGATCAGGGGGGTCTACTGTTTAGGTTAGTCTGTGTAATACATGCTTCAGTCATTTATATATTTATTTTTTATTACATCTTGTTTATTAATAAAATGTTTTAGCGTGATTAAAATTTCAGCGTTTTAAGGGATATTGTGTATGCTGACCTACAGTATTCTCTGATTAGCCATTTCAAATGTTACGGTAGGTTAAACTACAAACTAAGCATCTAATTTGATTTTATTTTCAGGCTAAATAGAGATACAAACACCTATTTTATGAGAAAACAAAGTCTTGTGAACACTGTCTATTGGTGCACAAGACCTGCAACTTTCAGACTTTTTTCTCAAGTAGACTGATTGGCAATGGTTAACAATGGTTTGAACTGTTATAGGAGTGGTCAAATGTATTTTTATATTATCTATTATTTCAATAATTAATGTTATTATTTAAAATACAGATCAAAGTGAACTATTTCACTATTAAAGAACTGACCCCTCACACATCTGGTTTTGACCTCCTTTAGGGGGGATCAAGCGTTAAACCCCCCCTGTAATTCGCACCCTGCTTTAACTTATTATTAGTTAACCATGTTTTAACTTAATTTTAAAAGTCAGTTTGAAATGAAAATGCACGTTTATATTTTGTTAGTGCACATTACCATTCTTTAGTTAAACAATTAATCCATGGCAGTTAATCCACTAAAAAAATGTTTGGCGATCTTTAATCAAAGTCTGATCATTTGCTTCTGTGTTCTTAACCATGCCTCTTGTACTTGGTTTATTATGAGGGAATGATGCACAAAAAAAGCCCTGCCCCCTTCTGAATATTCTGTTCTAGTAAAAAGTACATCAACAAACCGAAATAAAAGTCTCAGCAACTTCTGTTACATAGATTTATAAAAAGCTTGAAGTCATGTCAAAGTTATTAGGATGTAGCTTATTTGTTTACAGTGTGAGAGCATATTTTCTCTGTCCTTTATAACGGGTTTGATTTGGGTGTCGTTACCTCTTTTGAAGTCCAGGAGGAACCAGCGGTAGCAGAAGTAGAAGTGAGTGTAATCTCCATTCTGATGCATGAGCTCAAACAGCTCTGAGTCAAGGATCTGGAAAAACAGCACTGGTTGTTCAGAACTCATGACGTCCAAGACTGCAGCAGACAAATCACGGCGCTGACTCAGGCAGGAAGACAGAGAAAGGTCATTGTCATGTTACCTGTATCAGTGACCTCATATTGGCGAAATGAGTGTCCATGGCCCCTCCGGTGGGGAAATTCTGACTCATCCTCCTCATCAGCTGAGTGAAGCAGCTGTAGGCCAAGCACTCTGTACAGGGGGTATTCAAGAAATGAAAATATTTGTTTTTCATTTTTAATCAAAATATGTAAAAAACAAAATGATGATCAATATTATTTTAATTGGCTAATGAACAAAGCACTGTGGTCCAATAAATTGTCTCGTTAGCCTAATTAACATACACTCTCCAACCACTTTATTAGGTACACCTTATTATTGGGTTGGACCCCCTTTTGCCTCCAAAACTGCCTTAATCCTTCATGGCATAGATTCAACAAGGTACTGGAAATATTCCTCACAAATGTTGGTCCATATTGACATGATAGCATCACGCAGTTGCTGCAGATTTGTCAGCTGCTTATCCATGATGCGAATCTCCCATTCCACCACATCCCAAAAGTGCTCTATTGGACTGAGATTTGGTGACTGTGGAGGACTTTTGAGTACAGTGAACTCATTGTCTTGTTCAATAAACCAGTCTGAGATGAATGATTCACACTTTATAACATGGGGCGTTATCCTGCTGGAAGTAGCCTTCAGAAGATGGGTACACTGTGGTCATAAAGGGATGGACATGGTCAACAACAATACTCAAGTAAGCTGTGGCGTTGACTGCTTAATTGGTACTAATGGACCCAAAGTGTGGCAAAATTATTCTCCACACCCTTACACCAGCAACGCCAGCCTGAAGTGTTGATACAAGGCAGGATGGATCCATGTTTTCATGTTGTTGACGCCAAATTCCGACCCTACCATCCGAAGGTCACAGAAGAAATCGAGACTCATCAGATTAGTCAGCATTTTTCCAATCCTTCTATTGTCCAATTTTGGTGAGCTTGTGTTAATTGTAGCCTCAGTTTCCTGTTCTTAGCTGACAGGAGAGGCACTCTGTGTTGTCTTCTGCTGCTGTAGCCCATCCACCTCAAGGTTCGAGGTGTTGTGTGTTCAGGGATGCTCTTCTGCACACCTCGGTTGTAACTCTGTGTTATTTTTGAGTTACTGTTTCTATTAGCTCGAACCAGTTTGGCCATTCTCCACTGACCTCTGGCATTAACAAAGCATTTGCGCTTACAGAACTACTACTCACTGGATATTTTCTCTTCTTTGGAACAATCCCTGTAAACCCTAGAGATGGTTGTGTGTGAATTTTACAGTAGATCAGCAGTTTCTGAAATACTCAGACCGGACTGGCACCAACAACCATGCCACGTTCAAAGTCACTTGAATTACCTTTCTTTCCCATCCTGATGCTCTGTTTGAACTGCAGCAGATCACCTTGACCATGTCTACATGCATTAATGCCTTGAGTTGCTGCCATGTGATTGGCTGATTAGACATTTGCAAAAATGAGAAGTTGGACATGTGTACCTAATAAAGTGGCCTTTAATTAAGTCTTTAAATCGCACTTTAGCTGAATACTTGTGTCTTGCAAAATACCTACTAAAATATTATGTACTGTCATCATGCCAAAGACAAAAGCAGTTAGTCATCAGAAATTAGTTAAAACTTTATAAATAAAACTTTATATATAAAAAAAAAACTTTATAAATAAAAAAATGCACTTGGGAAATATTAAAAAAAATTATTAAAATGTAAAAAGAGCTCTAATAATTAAATATCAAAACATATATATTTTTTACCTAGTATAACATATTTAAAATTCATTTTCAAATATTACTAAAAGTTAGAATATGTAAACTGATGAAATATTTCAGTATTCACAATATTACTCTTTCTGATGAAATGAATGTGTGCTTTCTTTGGAAATCATTTTAAACTTTATCACGTCAATAAAAGTCACTTTGTTATACAACAGTTATATTTTCAATCCATAATGCAAACTGAAGGCATAAATATAAAAATAACACCCAGTGAATCACAAGCTATCAACAATTTCTATTAAAACATGCAGCAAAACAACCATTTATTCACAAATCTTTATAGAGTACATGAGCTGCTTGCAAAACACACGTAAAGCCCATAAAACATTATTTGGAAGCCCATCTACACAATCTTGTCTACTCACTCACCGTCATCCAGAATGACCATTAATGGGGCCAGCAGGTCACACATGCCCTGCACATAGCCGATCTCCAGATGCTCCCACACGTAACTGCGTCAGAAACACAAACAAATCAGCAGACTGAGCTTTACTTTAGATGATTTAGGAAATGAGTCTGTGATTTATGCTTCAATAGATCTAACAAACAGACCCATAAGAGGCAATAACTGTCCTGCACTGACCTGCACATGATGTTGCGCAGTTTCTCCAGGTTGCTGCTAGTGAAATAGTAGTAGTTGCGATCGCAGCGCTGGACATCTTTGTCTATTCTGTGCAAGTTCAGCGCCACCGTGTCCAACAGCTCGATCTGCACAGCATATGACACAAAACAACTGGCTTTACATTACTGGACCAGATGTGTTTTAACCAGATCTATCAGCGGTACACATGCTGTATCATGCTGACGTTTATTTACAGAGCCAGATCAGTCTCAAAAATAATATATTTACAAAATGTAATTCATAGACCCACAACAAAATTCACATTCACAAATCCAATTTTTAAATACAAATCATGACTCATAAACACACAAATCCAATTCGTAAATTAAAAACACGACTCAAAAACACACAAATCCAATTAATTTGGTGAAAATATTCATGATTTCCACTCGTGAATTCACAAATTGTTTACAAATGTACTAATTGGATTTTGTAAATGTGAATTGTGCTGTTTCATAAATAAACCATTTTTGAGACTGATCTGGCTCCATATTTATATGTGTGTGTATGTTTATGTATATGTGTGTTAATATAAAAATGTCTACATAAATGTAAGTTTATGAATGTTAGATATTACAGACAATTAGGTGAAGCACTTCAGAGGGAAAATAATATTTATGTGCATTTTATATTTTGTTTATAATGTTTATATTATTTTTAATCCACAATCACCATTTTGAAAACATTTATGGTTACAAATAGGACTAATAATATACTGTGTAAAATTTCATTATTTTAGTTTTACTATAAAATGTAATATAATACTATATAGTAGTATAAAGTTAACACATAAAAAGTTAGCTTTTTTTTTTACATTAGGCCAAGAGAAGATTGATAGGAATAGAGCTGAGTTAATATCATGTTTTAAATATCATATAACCTAATATCCAAGAGTTGAAATGATATTTTTTAACCTATAATCTACATTTTAAAAATCATTGACTATATAGTCAAAAACATTACTAAAGGTTATGCCATATATTGTAAAATAAAAATAACATATAGTATTTTTTTTATCTGAAATGCAAATTTCATATAACTTTAAACAAAAAAACTATATATATATATATATATATATATATATATATATATATATATATATATATATATATATATATATATATATATATACATAGCTGATTTAAATTGTGTCAAAGCAGCATCCTTAGCATCCCTGTAGGCACAGGACGTCAACAAATTGTCATATTGATGTTGTACCCCAACATCATGGGAATGTTAGATTTTGTTTGGAAATGAAAATTGACGTCAGAACCCAACTTCAGGCCGATGTCCAATGTCCAACCTAAAATCAACCAAATATCAATGTCTAATCATGTTACACCTTGACGTTGTGTGGATGTTACCACTATCTATCCGACGTTAGATTTTGGCCACTTTCCAACACAACCTAAAATCAACTAAATATCAACGTAATTTGACGCATTATTGGATGTCAAAATATGTCCTTAGATGCTGGCTAGACATTGAATTTTGGTCGCCTGACATCATGATCTAAATGTAACCTAATACTAATGTCTTATGATATTGTGTGCCTGCTGGGGTAGAAGTTCTAGTAAATTAAAAAACTTTTCACAGTTGAAGTTTAGTTTAGTTCAGTTCAGTGTGGTTTAAATCTCACTGCTGGAAGTCCAAACACTGAAGAGTAAATCCATTGAACAAAGCAAATCCATCACATCTATGTCAATATAGTCAGTAACACGTTACAATAAGTTTGTATTAGTAAACATAAGTTAATGTATTAGTTATCATGATTTAACAAGGAACAGCAAATACGTTAAGCATTACTTAATCTTTGTCAATTTTAATTAAACATATTAATGTGAACTTTTGGTGAACAATGACTTGATTAAGCATTACATAACCTTTGTTAATGTGAACTTTCTCATATTCTAATGCATCTCTTTATATTATCAGCTTAATTAATTAATGTTTACAGAGATGTATTTGTTAATGGATTAGACAACATATTTAATTAGCAATACTAAATATCTGTAATGCAAACTTACAAATACAGCGAACTGTTAGTTAATACATTAGTTGACAAGAACAAATAATTAATGACTCAGGTTCAGTAAATGAAAAAAATGCCATGTAATAAGATCCAAAATATGGAAATAAAAATAGTTTGAATCATTTGATTATGAGTATATTAATTTAAAAAAAGTGACAAATAAAAATATCAAATATCAAATAAAAATAATAAAGTATTTTATATTAGTATTATATATTAAAATAAATTTCTTTAAATAAATTGTAATTTATTTAAATGATAAATATATAAGCAGATTAGACCAAATTAACTGAACAATTATTAAAATGACTGTATTCAGACCTTGAAAAATGCTGTAATAAACCACAGTCTGTGAGCTAAAGCTGTGTTGCCCTGGCATACCGTATAAGAGGAGAAAGACGGTGCAGTGCCCTCAGAGCTGCTGGTGGTCGTGAGTTTGTCCAGCTGACTGCACAGTTTGTCCTCACTCAGAGAGCCGCGTCCGCCCTGCTCCTCAAGTCCTCCAGTGGGTGTCGTGTCCTCCTCCATGCTCTGGCCATCGTCGATGCTGGACATGATTTGGGAATGTCCTGACGCGACGGAGTAGTTCCTGGAGGAGGGCAGGCCTGAGTCTGGAGAGTCGAACTCCACCAGTGGCCTCTCGTCTGGGGCTAGCATGGCCGGGGTGACCACTGTGGTTAAAGTGGGTGTGCTGTCTTCACATGAGGTATCCTGACCCCCGGCGTCAGGCTCGTCCACAGACATGAACACCTGAACACAGAGATACCAGACACGATGAAGAGGAAGTTGAAGTTACATCAGGCTACCCAGACTTTTCAGATGGCAGGCATGGTAAACACCTGTCATACAAGCTAAAAGTATCAAAGTGTGTTTTCAAAAAATCATTATTTTTGTTGACTCTTATTGAGTAGAAAATGAAAAGTACACCTATTTGAATACTCAAAAGTATCCAAATGTGTAACGGTTTCACTCAATGTTTAGGGCCGGAGTGGGACTCCTTTTCAACCCTGGAGTTTCAAGCCTTAGAACGGCCCACTTCAGTTCACGACTGACTATATTAAAATAACGTCCTTTTCAATTCAGTACTTCATGGTGAAGATTTATCTGAACAGTTAACACAATGTAATGTTTAACAGTATCAGAATCTATTTTCTGTAGGATTAGTGCTCATAAATATCCAAACCTTGAAATGAAAAACAATGAAATAAATACAAATATATATTAAGCTACATGCATAAAATAAAGATTAAAATCAATTGTATTGAAATTTCAAATGACATTATCATGTATTTTTCAAGGAAACTGCTGCTTTTTATGACTTGAAATATTTGTCATAAATATGAGAACATTAAAGAGTAGCTAAATCTCCAACACTATTCTTTAAAACATCACTATGTCCTTTTCTGCAATATCTGATTATATGTTGTGGTAGTCTATTTGTTTGGATTTAATAAATTATATGATGCATTTCACTTTGAATATTTTTGTTTTGAATTGTTTGCTTTTGAGAACTTACATTATTCAAATATGCTGTTCAGATGGATATTCTGTGCATTTTGCATTGGTGTTCGGCCTCTTTAAGAACTGCGTCTGTCAAATCTGCCGGCAGTGCGTTGTTTAGAAGACAACCGAGTTTTCTTTACTGCATCCATGATGTTTGAAATTTGAGGTTAAATTTATTTTATTTTATTTTATTTTAATTTGTTTATGTATCTCTGAGTTAAGATTAAAAGTCAACACTGACAAGAAACGGACTTCATAGATTTTTTTATTGTGTCATCATTAACCTGCAGGCTGCATTCTGCTCATGGGGCTGCGATAAAATAATTAATAAAAAGATCGAGGCTATGGTGAATGAAAAAAGTGAATGAAAAAAGTGTGACTGCTCAGAGTGCAGGCAGCTAGGGAGACCGGCCCTAATGACCAAAAAATAAACCGGCACACCAGGAATAATCCTGTTGCTCCCGATTAGACAATCCGGGTCTGTGCTAACTGATACTCAACAGTTAGCATATCAACATGTTGACATATTACATAGTATTACTGTATATTCAATACTAAAACAAAAAAAGATGTTACAGAGTATTTGCGTGGCTTTTAATTTTAATCAGAACTAATTAGTATCACCACAAAATATACCTGTCAACAATCCCGTTTTTCCTGGGATTTTCCTGTATTTCACTGTTCTATCCCTCTATCATCCCGTAAAGGTATTTTTTCCATATTTCTCCTGTATTTTCAATCTTTCTATAAGGGGGGCAATAAATATTTAAGAGCTGATCCTCTCTAAATGCAACCCATACTGTATGGCCGAAACACCAGGGAACGCCCCTTGCTCCTAAATGTTAATCTGTTCTGTATTTTCGGTTTATTTAGGCATGAAAACACTTTAAAATAAATTTAAAAACAGCGGAATTGCCTTCCTTTCCATTACAGGTGCCATTGCCCCTCCTAGTCATAGAGCAGTGCGTGACTGTCAGCTGACGCGTTCCATATTAATAAATAGACCCTGTTTCCCAAACGTATTCTATACACACGATTTGAAGCAGAGCTAAAGTCTAGGTTTTGGGTGCGCATTTAAACAGAAATATACACATAATTAATAATAATAAAAACATCTAAAAATGTCGATCTTGGTGGGTTTTCTTTCAAACACAACCAATTTTGTCTTAAATGAGCAAAAAAGTTAGGGAAGCAATCGAATGCTTTCATTATGATGTTAGATGTGTTGCTTTTTTAAAGTGACACCTCTAATCAAAAGAAACATCTAAATGAGCGATTCATTCATTGTTCTTTAATCAGAACATTTAGGTAATGGGGGCATATCCCTTATTTTCACATTTCAGTGTTGACAAGTATGCAAACATCAGTATTTGTGTTTTTCAAGCAAGCTTATGCTTAATATTGCACTGAACATACAATATTACGAACATGCTAACACCAAATGAATAAAAAAACTCTTTAATACTTACAAAGTATTGAAATGCAAAATCAGCCTTTCCCTATGTTTGTGTCATGTGTGTTTATACAATAAATAAACATAAAATTTCACTCAACACTGAGATCGTAGTATTTATCTTGATTATAGTACTGAACAATTAGCTTAGCAACATGCTAACACCAAATGAGCTTCGCTTTAAGTGTTTATGGGGTATATGCCGAAGCATGCTAATAGGACTTTTAATTTGCCATTAACCTGGGTTAAGCGCTTCCGGCGAATTGAATGCCAATGCAAAATCCGGTGCGTTTAAGGTCTGTCTTTAAAAATCAGCGATCTCCACTAGCTGAGTGATATCAGATTTAAAGTGGGTCTCAGATTGTACAAGAAGCACTGCATTAAATTACATTTCCCCCGCCATATCTTTATTATATGAGCATTTATTTTACCCCAGTATATTCAATGGACCTGCTGCGTTAGCCTGCCGATTCTGACGGGCGTGTGCGAGTAAACAGCTTTTTGTCCTGTTTTACGCTTGAATAACTAAATAAATGCTAAATTTTATTTAACTGAATGTATTTTAATGACATTACAACATCGATGCTGTATAAGGAACTGTATAAAATGAGAAAAAGTTCACAATAACAGGTCACCGGAAGTGTATCAGCATGGGAACAGCACTAGCTCGGCATATACCCTATTGCCCTTGTAGCCAGGGGCGCCTGCAGGGTTTTATTTCAAGGTACGCACAAATCCAGCACCACCACGTTATTTCAGTATTCAAACATTAAATAACGAATGCATTAAGTGAAATAAAAAAATTAAAATTTTTTTATAATTTAGCGAAATTCTGCTCTTTTTATCTTTGTATTTTTATCATTTTATTTTTTTATTTTTATTTTTTTATTGTCTTCATAATTAAAGCTATAGACAAATTCATGCTTGACATTTTAAAAAATATTTTGCGTAGCTACCCAGTATGTATTAAAGATTACAGAGAACAAACAAATTTTAAAAATAAAAAACACACAGAAACATGTTACATGATCCCATAAATGTTCAACATATATTTAACTGAATTGAAAAAAAATGGTAAAAATCGCTTATTTTATTTTTATAAAACATTTTATTTTATTTAATTTTGTAAAAACAATACCGAAATTTAAGAATCCATATTTATTTTATGTATTTATTAATTTGGCTTGTTTATTGGTGCATATATAGGCTATAATTTAACTCATACAACAGTAGGCCTACCTTGGACAGCTACAAGCCTGGTTTGACTGAAGTGCAGTTATTTCCTCGTTGTTCAAACAGTCTGCAAGTTCGTGTTTCATAGATATAGGATGTATATTATTGTGGACATCAATGATGTTAAGTGTGTCTTTATTCAATGCGCAGCAGAAAAAAAGTCAGCAGTGCATGTAGCTGTTGGTAAAGTTCTCTCCCGGATCAGAGTGAGTTTTTGTGCTACCAAATGCAGCGCTGCATGCAATAAACTCACATTTAGTCAAGCGAAGTAAAGGTCTCATGATGTCAATCAAATTAATCAAGCTCTTTATTATTTTAAGATTTTAGACGATAGGTCAGTTATTTTTATTTCACGTGGTTATCTAAGTCAATGAAATTATAAATTTCTTAAATAAAAATATGTTTGTAAGAATTTAGTGGGCCAGTGATTGTCTGCCAGAGACTGCTCTACGGTTTTAAAACGCTTTTCAAAACTGTATTGTTTAGAACTGTATCTTTTTTTAATATTAATGTAGTGTAGTTCACTTGTGGTCTGATAACTAGCGCACTTCCGCTGAGCCAGCTGTGGTAGCTTGGCAACAAAACCGCGTCAACACACAAAATCTGTCGGCACAGTTCAGCACGAACGGTTTTCTCTGTGTGGAGAATTCCAGGCAGAGAATGGATTGTAATCGTGATGCGCCGTTCCAGGCTATGTGGAGAAACAACCCTAACCGTACCGAAGTGTTCTCAGAACGATTTGGCACGATAGTAAGAAAGAAGGCAGCTGTAATGTATACTGTTTAATAATCAATTAAAATTATGCCATAAATAAATAAATAAATAAAAAGCGGCATTAATTCCTGCCCTCTCATGGTAGGTATGCACAGTGCGTACAGCCGTACGGCTGCAGGCGCCACTGCTTGTAGCCACCTTTCTAGATTTGGGAATAATTATATTTCTCTCATTTCACAACAACCACTTAAAATGTAATGGTATTCAGAATAGAATAAAGCAACTAATAATGTATCACCCATAAAATTGTACTCACTATATGGAACATTTATAAACAATGCTATGTTCTACTGTTAACAAATTTATCTGATGTGACACAAAAAGTACCTGTAGCATCATGTGCTAAATAAATACTCACTTGGCTCTCTCTTTTGGCAACAAGAAAAATTTTTAGGTAATTTCCACATGCTCCACTCCATGATTTAATTGCTTTATATCTAACCTACCATAGGCTCATTGAAAGTATGTGCTTCAGCCTGCAATTTTTTCCACAAGAAAGTGCTGTCTACATTTTTGCAAATTTAAAATACATTACTTGGGGTAAGATTTGACGTACGCTCCGGGCGGCCATTTTAGTACAGGGTAGTGCTCCTTTAAAATGAATGTGGGGCCAAGGTGCAGTGGAGGTCTGGCAATCCAGAGCCCAAGATATATACACAAATATACATAGATCTATAATCTGGAGTTTTCCAAGTGGTCAGTATGCAAATATTTTTGTAAAGTTACAAAAATTAGAATTTTACATTGCTTTTCTTTATCGATGGATAAGTGATCACACGGGCATTGCTGATAAAGACCATGTGTTTGTGTGCATGGAAATGTATAATGCTCCCTACCTGTAAAATTTGATCTAATCCATGTCTGGAAACACACCCCCTTTCCTGCGTAACTTCTCATGCTAACGAAGGGAGCGATTTGTTTGTGAATGAATCCCAGTCATAAACAACTCGTTTACTCAGCCGACAATATTACAAGTTTCTGGCACCGCAGCATTGTGTTGTCATATTTCATTTACATTGTTTGATGATCTTATTCAACAAAACTAGCATAAGCTGAGTATTTAGTGCAGGTCGGTGCTACTTTCCTTGTTATCAGTGCAATAAGAGACTGTATTATCATCAATACTTGTTGAGCACTAAAGTTCATACAAAAAAAAAGTAAAAAAATGGAACAAGAAACGGTTGCAAAACTTGTGCATTTTCAAAACTAAAATGTATTAGTGTAAACAGGCCTTAGATTATTTAAAAAAAACATGACTTATATCTGGAAAATCTGGACTGACCTCATTGCTGATAGTGGAGTCTCTGTGGATGAGTCTGAGGACGTGGCTGTCTATACTGCTTCCAGACGACAACTTGGCGAAAATGGCCGACTGCATCTCTTTCTCTCGCTGCTTCACAATGACTTCACAGGCCTTCCACTCCCTCATCACCTGCTGATACCTTGCTGTGATTTTCTCATCAATCTACAAAACAAACATCACACCATGAAAAAACTGTTCATGCTTAAAAAGAATTTCTCTTTTACACAGACGTTTTAAAAGGGCATCTATTTGACATATTTTCAAGATTTAAGATAAGTATTTTGTGCCTTGAGAATGTGTCTGTAAAGTCTCAGCTCAAAACACCCATCAGATTATTTATTGAAATACTGAAAAACTACAGTAATAACTTTGCCAATTGTTATTTGCTGTATTTGCTGGAGAGTTAATTCAAGCCTTTCTGCAACGATGAGTCCCACACAATGTTGTTACAAAGTTCACGCACGCACACACAGACAAACACACTTTGCACTGGCTTGCGTGGCAAATGTGACAGGATACACATTAATATCCACAGCTGTATGAATATCCGTTATGTTAATGACCAAAATAAACCTGATTTAATGTCCACAATCACGGATTGATGCGTCTTCTTTTATAATTATACTGACATGCGACTGTGGTGATGAGTTACAGTGATTTTACTGTCGTTACTACAATTATGCATTGCTTTAAAAAATGTTTAAACTCATTCTTGATCAAATTTGATGATGATTGATGATCACAGCGTGCAGAACTGATCTTTTAATCCCAGTTGCTTTGTGCATGTCCTGTCTTGTTGATATGATTATACACGTTACTACTAAGACATGTGATACATGGCTGTCAATCATTTTGGAGGGTGGGGAAACCTGAATTTTTACCTGAGCCATATTTTTTTTATCCATCCCAAACTTGTAGTGTCCCAGCAGAAACGGCCACACTTCCTTTCTGATCTCATGCTCCACCCCTCCATAATAAACCAACCTCAGCAGCTCCAGCTCCTTATAGTTCTGGCAAGAGAGAATCAGAGACAGATGGAGACAGCGGGACCACTGCGGCCTATGGTACAAGTCACGGACCGCTAGTACCCTCTAGTGACTAGAGCCGAAGAGTACTAGGCTGACCTTACAGTCTTTCTGATATTTACTCCACACATCTTTGCTGAGGCCTCCAGAGGCTTCACAGGGCTTGTCCGGGGGAACGATGTTGTGGTTGACCAGCGCTGAAAGATGTGTTCTCACTGTTGACAGATGCCGACAGTAGGCCAGCCCTTCAAACACAAACACAGCAAAAGAGCACTTTATGCACAGCCGAGGCTTTATTAAACCAATTCATATGAATAATTGCAAAGATTTACTGGACTTACAGCCATAAAACGCTCGAGACACAATCTGTCTCTTCATATTTTGGCACAGCATCTTCAGAGGAATCCTGGACACAGAAGGGAAACATCCGTTACTTCTTTCAACACAGGAAGGCTACTCAGATGCTTTTGCAAAAATATACATGAACTGCAGCCAAAGTTATTTAACATATGGCTGTTTTTTTTTTCAACTTTGGCTCTTGCATGTCCAATGCATTGAACCTTTTTCCTTTTCGTTATCTAAAAAATTGAACATTTTTCATTATGGATTTAACATTTTATTTTTGCCATTTTTCAAATAGACGTTTTTTTAAACCTCCATCCACTCCATACTTCAGCAGAAAATTAAAGAAGATTTTTTAATAAAACCACGATCTTCTGTGATTTAGATAATGAAAATCAGAAAGTCATAAACGCCGGTGCTAAATGTCAGCACACAGTACCACTGTCTATTGGTGCCGACATGACTTTTATGAATCACCACATAAATTCTTGTGCACAAATGATTTAAATTAGAACACAGTCTCAGGTCTTTTAGGGGTGGTCTACTACGATATTATATTTTAAACTTTAGTAGATGTGTAATGTAGCTGTGTGAACATAAACAACATCTCTGAATGTACTATGCTCAGGGTTCAATGCAAAGGCAGACATTGGCTTTTACACCGCTAGCTTAGCAAAGTGTACAGCGAACAGTTCAGGACTACAAAAAAAAAAAAAAATACATCCGGGGTAGTGAGTTCACAAACACTTCAGATTACGTGCATTCAGGATGCGCATACACCCCACACAGCAAAGGGGCATGGCCAGAGGTGCTGTAATGTAGCAGAGTAAGCTAAAATGCCACCTAAATGTTGCTATTTACACAGAGCTTCTTCCGTTTCTGTATTTGGGCTTCCAAAGGACACGACACAAAGAGAGAAGTGCTTACAGTTTAATTTTAATTATATTCCAGAATGTTCCAGAGAATAATAAAAAACATATAACTAGCATTTGACAAAGCGCAGCTTCCAGAATCTCTCCCAGTTCAGTGCTGGATTCAGCATCAAACTCTTCAAAGGAGCAGCTCCAACCATAATAGATGAAGCTGTAGATTGGACAAGTGTTTTTATTTGATAAAATTGATCTATTACATGCATAGTTTCTAGCTTTAACTGTATGTTGTAGCTAGGATGCAAACAACAGGAAATGCTATTTGGCATAGTAAACAATTTAGCTACAAATTCTTATTTATTCATCAAACCTATGTAAACACCCACAAATTTCACCAGCGCTGCATGTGTCTTTCTATGTGGCTGCTTTCCGTGCGTTCTACATCTCAAATAATAAACTCGCAAAAGATAGGTGAACGTTTTATATCACTTACACATGCTTACAGTATAAGCCAAATATATATGAAAGACCCTTGTCAGATTTTATTTTAGAGAGCAGGTGTGAGGTTCATCTGTATCATTTTCTGTCTGATTTAGACTCCAACTGATTTGGCTACACTGACTATTTACAGAGCAGAGGCAAAGCGTTTGTTTGTGGAGGTGTGACACTTTTCCTGGTGACGTGAAGCCGATCCGCGAATCACAGCAAATTATGTTAGCTTACCAATCAGAGCCTCTTTAGGGCGGGCATTTGGAGGAACTAGGAAATGTGACAATGATGTCGTTTTCATGCTAGCTGAGTAGCTGTATATAATTAAAGTAAGATATATGAAAACATAACGTGATAAGCAACTTTGTATCGTATAAACACAACCAAGCCTTAAAAATACACTCTGGACCACCCCTTTAAAAACATATCCAAAGCAAAAATAGAACTCTATTAGGATTAATCTTTACAAATCACATTTGGTCTGAACTGTGATTCTTGGTTAATTATAATCCCAACTCAACATTGCAGATCTTGCGATTATCTACTGCCGATTCGCACATCGCAATATAGATGCTGATACGACATATTCTGCAGCCCTAAACAAAGGTTTCAGCTAAAAATCATCTTTAATCTTCAACTGAAGAATAATCATATTAATAAAAACTTCATAAGCAGCAAATCTGATCATTACTATGATTTCATGTGACAGTAAGAACTGATGAAAATTCAGCTTTGCTGAATTTTGCTGAAATTATTCAGTATAATTTGTATTATTTTAAAGCAGGAAGCAGTTACTTGAAACAGTAATAGTATTTCACAACATTACTGTTACTGAACGTGGGTTTTCTTTAGGTCTCCAGGGCCAGAAGTGTGAAGCATGTGTCTCTCTTACCGATCATGCATGCAGGTGCAGCTGGCTGGAAGCTCGACGGAGGCGTTGCTGCCACCGGTGGAGCAGGACAGACATGATGACATATGACTGGTGCACTCGCCCTGCTGCCATGACAAGGGGCTGCCGCCAAAACCCTGCATCTCCATCAGGTCCCCGTGGTCTAGCAAGGCGTAAGAGTGAAAGAGGCGGCAAAGAGGAAGAGCAGGAAAAAGAAGGATAGGAAATATGATTAAACTATGCTCTAGTAACCTGCATTTGAAGAGCATGCTTGAGATTATTTAAAACCTACTCTTACATTGCACTGGTAAACTGCTAGACAGGAATTGACGTTATACACCATTTTTACTGTAGCTCTGAAGGCTCGGATTTAGTGAATTATAGGCCTCAGCTCAACCATGAGATAATTAAGGAAGAGTAAAATGAATCCCCTATTGCAATACATATTAATTTTAATTAAAACATTGTTCAGTATAAAAGTTAGGGCTGTCAATATTTACAAATTACTTTTGAAACTGTTCCCTAAGAATCCAAACCGCTTCTTCAAGGTTTCTCTGTTTGTTTTAATTTTATAATATCTACTATCAATTACATTTGTTTCTTTTATTCACAGTCCTGCATGACTAGAGTCAAGTATAGTGTTTTACAGAATTGGGTTTTAAGACGGTATGCCTAATTCAAAGTAGTTTAGATTTTTTTGAAAGGTTTAAATGCTAAAATACATTGACATCAATGATTTTACAAAAGACGTTGCTTCTGCTTCAGACTTAAATTCCTCTGGTTAACGTATGGGTCAGGGGCTTAATTGTTTGAATAATTTGTCCATTTTATATGATTTGATAACACTGAAGTATGAATGCTTAATTAGCAATGTTTCCATCCGACTATAGACCATTTTGAGACCATGTATTTCCTGTATTACGTTTTTAACCCATACCTTCCAAGCATCCAAAAAGAGCCACATATTGATAAATAACATTATGATAATGTTATAGCAGCAGTTTTAACGTTGAGATCTGATTTAATCAGTTTGTCTTACAGTTACAAAATAGTTTGACAACAATCACAAAATGTTCGTGGGCCAGTGACATCGTCACATTTAAATGGTCTATTTTATGCAAATTTAGGAAAGCACTAGATGTAATTAAGTTCTAAAGATGCACATAAAAATGTATCTTCTCAATTGAGGATGATACTTTTTAATTCAACAACAACAACAACAACAAAGAAAAATGTGAACTACAATGGAGACCAAATATACCAAATTTACCAAATACATCCTTTGATACACACCAACAAATATGATTTTGTCTTGTCATGTGACTGGATTAATGCACACATTCAAATATGAACATGGTCCACAAAACCAATCATAAGTCTCAATATTTTGAAATTAAGTTTTATACATCATTTGAAAGTATTAGTTTTAAAAATCAAAGCTTTCCGCTGATGTATGGTTTGTTAGGATAGAACAATATTAGACTGAGAAACAACTATTTAAATGACTGGAATTTGAGGGTTCATAAAATCTATATTTAAATATTGAGAAAATCGCCTTTAAAGTTGTTAATTCTCATATAATTACAATAGGAAATTTCCAAAATGTCTTGATAGAACATGATCTTTATTTCATATTCTAATGATTTTTGGCATTATTTTAAACACATACAGTGTATTTTGTGGGCTATTTCCGCAAATAGAACTAAAGACTTAATGTTTTATAGTACAATGTCACTAATGTGAAGTCATTTTGAACTGCTGTCTGTCATCAAAATTATTTGGCTGAATTTTTTTAATAGGTAACACTTTATTTTGATGGTCCATTCGAGTATCAGTAGACTGTCTGCTTAATATTTGTTGATACTGCTCCTTCAACAGACATTTAACTGACTATAAGAAACTTTCAAGTACATGTCAATTTACACTAACCCAAACCCCAACCAAACAGTCTACTTATAATCTAATGAGAATTAGTTGGCATGTAGATGCAATATAACTTAAATTCAACAAATAGACCATCAAAATAAAGTGTGACCTTTTGGTGACCAAAACCAGAGCCATTGTTTCTTCTCCAATTGCAGTACGTTTTATTTTAAATACAGATTTAGTGCCAATATCTGAGGAAGTGACAGTGTTGTCATCTTTGAACAGTTGGGATGGAAACAGTGCTTTGTTCACAAACGTTTTAAGTGATATTCCAATGTTCCAAATTCACAAGTTTCTGATGATAAAACTGACAGTCCTGAGTTTGGACGTACTTTATCTTTCCAGATTTCTCTTCCTGTCAGAAATGCCATTGACACACAAAAATAAAAGCAAACCTGAAGGATACCAAAGACATGCATCTATGAATGAACAGAAGGAAAAGGTGTAAAACGATGCGGGGATGCCATGCCAGGAGACCTGCCAGTCAATCAATCAATCAACCAATCAATCAATCGATCAAAACCACAGTGTCACAAATCAAGCCAGGCACTGGTAGAGCTTGAAGAGGAGTAGAGAAGGACAGACAGTAACCATTCCTACCATGCTAGATTCATCAGATTCAACCATGACAAAAATAAATAAATCAAACAGAAATAAAGAAGAGGAAATTTATACGGCATGTACTTGTATAAAAAAACGTGAAAAGAGTCGAGAGTAAACATAAATGCTCTTCACCTTAATTCTTCAGGTTGGAGCTGGTGGCCTGCTAACACAGTAAACGCCCTACAGTGGACGGAGAGCAATATGCGTTCCTAATGCGTCTCGCGTTAGCTATAGAACTTTGGGAAAAGCTATGATCGAATGGGCGACGCGTTCGCGGCTCGATTGGTGTTTCTACTGCACCAGAACCCCACAGGACCTAACTCATATAATGAAAGGTGACTGCAGTTAGTGAAGAATTACAGTGAACAGCATTACAGAAAACCGGCTCAACACAAGAGAAACAACAGTAAAACAACAACAACAACAACAACAACTGAAGAGGAAAAAGAGGGAAGGAGACACAGCTCGGACAAGTAAGCAGTTGAGCACATTCGCCACAGAGATAACAAATCAAATCAAATAATAAAATAGAATACACAACATGTGCACTTTCATCATGCAAAGCCCTCAAGCGCTAAAATAAATAAATCAAATAATTTTCTCTAAGAACTCGCTCGTGTCAACCAAAGAGTGCAAAAGGAAAACAGAGCAAATTATTGTAAGCATTGCTTGCTGGCCGCCACAGTCAGGCCCAACAGTGCTGATTCTCCACATCAGACCTCGGCTGTCAGTGTGTTTGTGTAAGGCAGAAGACGGAGAAAGGCAGAGCAGTGTTGTGTGGACGTGGCAGAGCAGCGGAGGCTCTGTGAGAAAGGTTAGACAGTCACTCCAGCAACAGAGGAGAGTGACGACAGTGGAGGAGACTGGAGGCAAGAACAGACATGTGCACTGACTGACCTCAAACAAACACTATAATATAATATAATATAATATAATATAATATAATATAATATAATATAATATAATATAATATAATATAATATAATATAATATAATATAATATAATATAATATAATATAATATGTACATATTATAATATGAAAAGTTCTTGCATTTGTTGCATAAATTATGCAAATTGATTTGTGTTAACATTTAGCTATTTTCGATTTAAAATATACAGCAGACCCCATTTTGAAAAGGAATATTTTAAACATTTCTGAGTAAATATAGGTTATATATTTTGGTGCAGTTATATTTAATAAAATAATAGTTTGGTCACCGAACGTCATTGGACATAAAAATACAATACATTTAAATTCAAACTAAATAGTGCACAACTCAATTTTATAATTTTTTTTTTGTTTGTCCTTATTTTCCCTTTTTTTCCAAAAGATATTTATTTAATATTTTCCCCTAACATAGAAATTTGGGTGTACTCGTGTTCTCCCTATAGAACTTTGTATCATCCCAAATGTGGCATAATTAAAAGCAAAACTTAAAGGTGCAGTAGGTGGTTGTCTTCAGAAACATTTTATGTTGTGCTGGTTTAAAGTCTCTTCACATTCTGATAGTATTGATCAAAGTAAATGATCTAAATTTATTCATATGTATCTTTATATTCTGGGTAAGGCATAAAACTAAAAAATGTTCATCCAATTAAATAGTGTCAGCCCGGCTTCTCCCATAATTCTGATAATTAGCTCAAACTGTCTGTCAGCAAATGCAGATTTGAACTAATGCGCAGCCATTTACATGCAGATCCGCCATTTGTGCGTATATGCGCTAAGGGTTCATGTGTGAGAGAGAGAGAGAGAGAGAGAGAGAGAGAGAGCGCTAGTGGTAAAAACATGCTGAATCAAAACTTTTAAAATCTTGAATCAATATTGGAGTTACTTTTGGCAGGCTGGAGGTATTACGACACCATGGCTGAAGTATTTATTAGACAGGTAATGTTATTTGTAAAAACTATTTTAGCTTCACGCAGAGCTGATGTAGATTGTGTTGTCATAAATGGGTTATTTGCACAGAACTGTTGTTCAGCCAAAGAAATCGTCGGCAATAGACTGATATGACTATTTTCAGTTTCAAAATAAGGGTTTTTACAACACCAATACTGCAGATTTTTATTTAGTTTAACAACAAAACATCAGTAAATAGCACTATTCCGGCTAGCCTGCCTTACTGAGGTGAAGTTGGTTTTATATTCACATTACATTGGTTAATTTTTTAACAATGACAACCTGTGACGCACTCACTATATTGTTTACCATGCTACTCTGAATATTCGGTCAGAAATAGCATGCAAGTATAGCTTAATAATGAGTGTAATTTCTGCACGCCGCCAGCCAAGCACTAGTCGCTAAGTGAGGGTTCTGCTGTTATCTTTAAGGAGGCGTGGCTTAGGACAGCAGGAGTGGGATTGTGTTTCAAAAATTTATGCTAGACAGTTTGCATTGTCAGAGATTACCTACTGCACCTTTAACACCTATTTATTTAGAATTGCTTTTGTTAATTAGTAGAGCAAAATGCTGTTATATTGCCATTCTTGTTTACATTGTGTTCTTATCTTCTTATGTGTTTTAACTTGGGTTACCACTTTCAATACAAAAAAATAAGGGACGCATACTGCAGCGGGGACCATCCCCAATCACAGGCCCAATAGCATGCCAGAGAGAAGAACGTACTAATGAACCTTATTTTAAAGGGTGGAATCAATAACAGATTTGGCTAAAATTTTTGTCATTATTTGCAGTAACACCTATCCAAACATGGAAAGAGCACATACATAAACTATAGCAACAAACATTACCTAGTAAAGTTTTCAAATAGTCTATTTCTAATGTAATAATATAGAAAGTTGCAATTTACTAGTTTATTTTCTTTACATGGGCATTATGTTGTTTATTAATGTATTAAATAAAATGTTTCAAGTATTAAGTTAAAGCTTATGTGCCTGCCTTAACAAACAAATCATAATTTTACATTGGAATACGATCCACTTACATTGTATTTACATATTTTTCCAAATTACAATTTGTGACCCAGTGTGTGAAAACCAGGTCAAATCTAATTCTGAACTGAACTGAACTTAAACACTAAAAAACTGAACTACACTGTTCCAGTTACTATGACCATTTATGTGAAGCTGCTTTGACACAATCTACATTGTAAAAGCGCTATACAAATAAATCTGAATTGAATTGAATTAAATAAAATTTAACTGCAGCCATTCATTTCACTGTGATTTTAGTTGTTGACGTGGTTTTACTCAGTTGTTATTCAATGCATATATTTTTATATTTTTTTTACAAACTGTATTTCATGTAGAAAACAATAAATAAAAAATAAATAAAAATAAAATACTCCAGCTAGATATTTACAGACTGGGTCACATTTTTAGCATTATTTATCAATTAACCTAAATATTGTTGATAATGATTACACTGTCATTACCATGTCTGCTTCGGGAGAGACTTGAGGGGCAGACTCAGACGCAGGGGTTACCTGGAAAAGAATCTGCCATTACTCTGCTTAAAAGAACCGCCCGTACTGGACAAAGACCAATCAAACTAACAATGACGTCAAGTATTATCCAAGAAAAAATAGGAAATGAGGGATCTTCATAAAATGCATGTGGTATGATTTGCATGAAAAAGCTACTTTTAAAAAAGGATAAATACGGGACAAAACCCATCCCGTATTGATTCAAAACGGGACGCGCAATTTTTTTCTTAAATATAGGATGATTCTGTATTTTAAGGGACGGGTGGCAACCCTAGTTTTAACGTGTAATTTAGTTTTAATGCTCTAAAGCACTTTGGGCAGGGCTCTGGTAGTAATAAAGTGCTATATTAATAAAGTTGATTGACTGTTTATTTTGCTAGATTATCTCCAGATTTGGCTTCAGCACAGACTAATTTAATGTATGTGCACAAATAAAATATTGTATAACATCCTATCGAAAATATAAATTTTAAAGACAGATTTGTGAGGGGTAAAATTAGTAAATTAATAAATTAGGCTAGTCATATATTGTCATATATTGTATTTATCTTTTGCTTTTAAGAATTTATTACACTTGAGATGAAATATAATAAATTAATTTGAATTAAGTAAAAACTTTTATTTTATGTGAAGTAAATGAAAAAATTCTACCTAGCTATTTGCAGATTACATTTTAATACATACAGTGCTCAGCATATATAAAAACATATCTACACAAAATCTATCACAAATCTATCTTTTAAATTCATATTTTTATTAGGAGCTATACAATATTATATTTGTCCATATACATTAGACTAGACATTACTGAAGCCAACTCTGGAGCTTATCTAAGAAAATAACTTATGAAAGCGATGAAAAAACTAATAGAGCCAAATTATGTTATAGAGAAATATTAAATACAAATATTAAAAGAAGGAAAAATCAAGAGAAAAAAGTGAAACAATTTGTTGAAATTTTGTAGCTTGTAATTTTTTTTGCAATACTTTGCTTTAATTTAATTATATATCTTTCAATGTCAAAATATGTTTGGTGTCTAAAATATGATTTTAATAAATATATCTGTTTAATAAATCTGTTTTGCTTAAATGCACCAAAATACATTGCCTATATTCACAGAGAAATGAAAACAAATATTCCTTTTCAAAATGGGCTGTACTCAATTATGCTGAGCATTGTATATTGTATTTTTTTAAATAAAGTAAGATAGTAATTTATCTAGCACCTTCAAATAAATATTGGAATCAATAAACATCTGCATTTAAATCATTAGCATTTACATTTGATTAGCTGCATACGTAAAAACTTCTCTTTCCACCCCAATACTGGCAGCGTTATCTCTACTATCTTACAAACTTTCCCATAACAAGCACAAGCAATGTTCCTCTGCGGTTTAGTGACTTTCCGTTCAGTCAGCCTCTATTTTAAGCACTTAACATGCCTTTCTGTGTACTTTCCATGTTCACGCACACACTCAAGGTCTTGTGCCACTTGACCTAGCTTTTGTCCGGCCTCAAAGGTGGCCATGTTTACAGGCATACGGAAAGAGTGTGAATCTGCCCTCACTGAGCACTGCTGGACGCTGCTTGTGAACACCAGGAGCCAAAGAGAGTGAAAGAAGGAGAGAGGGGGAATGAAAGTGGGCCACTGGTGATAAAAACCTTTCATGACATTAGGATCTGTGAGGTTCCGTGAGCAGATCATAGAGATCATAGCGTGAAGTCTATCCTCCTCCTCCTCATCGTCGTCCAGAGAGGGCGCACGACTGCCCGTGCTGTGGTGGTAGTTTATAGTGACTGCTTGGGCAATAAAAGAACACAGTTTAGCACCCGCCTCTACAGCAGAGTCACGCTCCACTCTCATTCTCACACACGCGCGCGCACACACATGTACACACACACACACACACACAATCACGCACACTTCAGCTGTCTTGTTTGGCAGTAAAAAATATTCAAACAGCCTAAATATGAGAAAACCTGTGTAAGATATACAGAATTGTTTGAGAATATTGATTTATATTTTAGTTTCATGGTTTCATTTTTAAGTTCAAATTTAAGATCAAAACAAAAAATAATCAAAAAATAATTACATAAATATTTAAAAATGCATTCTAATGTAATATAATATAATATAATATAATATAATATAATATAATATAATATAATATAATATAATATAAAATGATATGATATAATATAATATAATATAATATAATATAATATAATATAATATAATATAATATAATATAATATAATATAATATAATATAATATAATATAATATAATATAATTTATTTCCAACTGAAAAATCATACACAAAACAATTCTTTAAACAAAATACTTTTTAACATGGTCAAAATTTAGAATTATATACTGTATATTTAACCCAAATCTCAACACAATAACTCATTTATGGCAACATAAGAGTGTTATATATTACATACATTGATTTATTGTGCAGGATAAATCTTGCTTTATACACTATTGCAACAGATTTTATGGTCCAATACAACACCAAGAAACTTAATTGCATATACTCTGTCTATAACTTCATTCTATTATTTTTTAAATCTATATTACAGTATGACTCCTTTTTAATTTCCCAAAATAACATAATCTTTGTTTTACTTACTGTATACACAGTTGAAATCAGAATTATTAGCCCCCTGAATTATTAGCCTCCCTGTTTTTTATTTCCCCAATTTCTGTTTAACGGAGAGAATATTTCTTCAACACATTTCTAAACATAATAGTTTTAATAACTCATTTCTAATAACTGATTATTTTATCTTTTCCATGAGGACAGTAAATAATATTTGACACTTCTACATAGCTTAAAGTGACATTTAAATGATTAACTAGGTTAATTAGGTTAACTAGGCAGGAAAAAATATATTGCTTAAAGGGGCTAATAATTTTGACCTTAAAATGTTTTTAAAAGAATTAAAAACTGCTTTTATTCTGGCTGAAATGAAACAAATAAGACTTAATAAGACTAAAATATTATCAGTCATACTGTGAAAATTTGCTTTCTCTGTTAAACATAATTTGGGAAATATTTAAAAAAGAAAAAAAAATGGGGGGCTAATAATTCTGACTTCAACTGTATATTGACAATTTCTTTACGTCAAATTTCTGTTTTAATCAGCTCCACAAGTTTTGGTAAATTACTCCCAGAACAAAAGATACTTCTACCATCGGCAAATAAAATAAGCTTAAACAACTCTGATATCTTACACATATCAATATTATAAAAAACTGCAAATATTGGACCTAACACTAATCCTTGTGTTTTGCCACAATTTACATTTAGGTTTGAAGATTATGGTTGCCAATTTCAACAAGCTGTTGCCTATTTTTTTTAAAAACTACTTTTCCAATTCAAGGCTACTCCTCTAATTCCAATAAATTCTAATTTATTTACCAATTTATTTACCAATATATTATGATTTATTGTATCAAATGCCTTCTTTAAATCTATAAAAAATCTAACTAACTTCTTCTTTTTATCCATCTTATTAGTAATTTTCTCAATAATTTCTGTTAATGCTAGAGATTATCTATTTTTTATAAAGCCATATTGCTGATCAGCTAAAAGGTTATGCGTTTCTATGAAATTGCTTATCCTTTCAACAAAGAGTTTTTTAAAATTTTTTGAAAACTGAGAGAAAGCTGACCTTTAACTTGTAAAGTATTATAATATAATATAATATAATATAATATAATATAATATAATATAATATAATATAATATAATATAATAAAATATAATATAATATAATATAATATAATATAATATAATATAATATAATATAATATAATACAATATAATATAATATAATATAATATAATATAATATAATATAATATAATATAATATAATATAATATAATCATTGTACCCTTTTTAAGGATATTTCTATATTTTAACTTTAGAATAACACAAAATCATTGGCACTGAGTTTTTTTTTTTTTTTGCATTGCATTGCACACAAACACAGATATATATTGTCATCCAAGTCAGTGCAGCTGAAAAACTGCGTCGTATACTTACGTCCTTCCCAACAGCCTCCACAACGGCTGTTATGTTCCACAGAAAAGTGAGAAGCAAACACACAGACAACAATGATATGGGTGGATGATGAAGGTGTCTGATGCAGCCCTGCTCAGCCTTCACACATCCGGCAAAGCAGCTCTGGCTGAACAAACAGTGGCCAGAACGAGGACTCACAGGGTTTAAGAGCAGGAATGGACACTCAAGCCACATTTAAAATGTGATGAATTTTTATTGAACGCAAAAAGGTTCATGCATTTTATGTGTGGCTTTTAAAGGGGACACATCATGAAAATCTTTTTTTTCCATGTTTAGATGGTATAATCTGGTCCCCAGTGCCTCTAACAAGCAAGAAAATGTGAACCCCGGCAACTTATTTTTATTGGGAAGCCTTTCTCTATGCGCATATGGAAAAAATAAGCCACTCAATTTTGGCTTCCTTAGTGACATAAGAAAGGGTAATTACTTCATATGTCACACCGATTGGTTCACCAAAAAAAATGTACAATTTTGTTAATAATATGTTTCTAACCCTTATGTCAATCCAATCCTCTAAGACCTTCATTCATCTTTAAAACACCAATTAAGAGGCTTAAGACAAAATCCAAGAGCTCCCTCATCCTCCATAGACAATAATGGTCACAAGTAGGGATTGGTATCATTTACATTTTATCAATATCGATACTGATTCAGATATCACTTATCAATACCAGCTCTTATTACACAGCTGTCTGGAGTACTTTAATCTGAATGGTTAGTCGCAACATTCCAATGTATGTTTTAGCGAGATACAACTGCTAATAACCTAGACTCATCCGGGTAATTCAAATCATCTTGACCGTATTACAGAATTCATCAGTTAAGCATTTATATGATTTTAAAAATTATTTGAATGACTAACCGTGCATTCACACAGGGCTTTAGCGTCAACGCTTGACTGAGGGCGCGTCTGAAGTTGGGGCTTACGCGATCGCCATAGCAGCATTAGCCAATGAAATTAGTCTGCAACCGGCTACTGTCTGCGCTGGGGTATTTGCATGAAGCCATCTGATTGGCTGACGCTTCCGTTGGCGCTTGAAAAGATTAGAATTTCCCAACTTCTGCAGCGAGCAACGTCACTGAAGCTGTGCCGTGTCGCTGTATGTTGTATATATCTAATGACCAGGGGAAATGTGGGTTCATGCCAAAACCAGTTGAGAACCACTGTTCTAAAGTAAAAGTGTTTACCTTACAGATTATTTATTTATTTCAACAATTTTCAAATAATTTTAAATTGTGTGTTATTCAAAAATATCTATTATTTATAATAAAAACAGTTATATCGGCTGAATATTGGCCAATGTCCACCCCGCTTTACAATATATCTACATTGGCCTTCAAAATTATTTTGGAAAGCAGCAGCTCATTTACATTTAAAAAGAATCTATAGGGGCAAATTTGACAAGCTATAACATTATATGTGAGGTACTTTTGGTTAAAACTTCATAGACGCAGTCTGGGGACAAAAGAAATATGATGAAAGCGATCTTAGAAAGGATACAATATGTCCCCTTTAAATAAAGTCCCCGTGGAAGGACAGACAGACAGACAGGTAAAGACGACAGGCACATTTCAGCTTAAACTCACTTGAGTCGTGACGGTGACCCGGATAAACGATGCGAAACACATAGTCTGCAGCAATCTGGTCCTCCCCGTCCCCATCCTGATCCACCAAACGGGCCGTGCTGTTCCTCTTACGAAGCTTTGGGAAGACTTTACCCTGTTAGACAAACATAGAGAGTCACCTTCATACTCAACTAAATTTCTCATTCCAATTAAACAACATTTGGCAATTTAAAAAAAGCTAGAATGCAGAAAAAAATGAATGAAAAGGAGGAACAGCAGATCACTAGCAAGCAAAATGAATACTTCTTAAATCTTGATACAGCTAAACATTCTGCTACATGTTGATTTTAATAATTGCTGTACAAAGTACTTGCCTTTCCCCTCTGGGACCAGAGAGGGGGTTCCAGCTGACCCCGGGGCAGGAGACCCGTCTCCAGGCAGGAGAGGAAGGCCAGCAGATGTCCTCCAGGAGGAAAGTGCAGAGGAGGCCGCTGGATCCCATCCTGACTGACCAACACCAGAGTACCTCCACAGTCCGCTGAGAGAAATGTAGGGATCACATAAATAAAATTATATTTATAAATAAAATCATACAAATACATAAACAATTAAATAAAATTAGGTTAAATAAAAATATATAACACAACACAATATAATATAATATAATATAATATAATATAATATAATATAATATAATATAATATAATATAATATAATATAAAAAAATGCAATTTTACATGTATTATTATATTATATTATATATAATTATTATATTATAATAATCTGTGATATGTAATTGAGTCAATAATGATACTGATACTAAACTGATGTGTGCTACACTGAAAATAAAATAATATGAATTAAAGATTAAAAGAGAACAAAATTGTGCTATATTTATTGTTAAAATCAGTAAAATAAAAAAATATAATAGTAAAAATAAAATAAAATAAAACAAAATAAAAATATAATAAAAGAGTAATTTATTAACATATTTATAGGTGTAGGAAGGACACTCACGGCGTTGGTGGCAATGAATGCAGACGATCTGTCTTAAAGGCACAGTCAAAGCATAGTCCCAGTAAATACTGAAGTGTGGTAGAGTGTGATTCAAACAAAACAGAAAAACAGACAGAGAGTGAAAATTCTACCCTATAAATCAGGTTTTCATCAAAAGGGGTTGTTTGGCTAATCTCAACCCAGATTACTCACAATAACATGTCTGTTTGTTCCTTGCAAACATCTCAACCTTATCATTACAAACCAGCAATCAGGACACTCATCTCATGCATTTCCTGTACAACCTCTCTAAAGGTAATTGCTCTCCGCAACCTAACAATCTCAGACCAATCAAATCAAGCTCCTACATGTCAAGCACAGTCGAGGAAAAATTATTCTCGATGATCTCAAATGATGACCTCATTTCTCCAGAGTGTGTGTGTGTGAGTGTGAGTGTGTATATACAGTGTATATATTACCTCTTCTCCAGGTCACAGTCTCCCAGAGTGCCATTGATGAGCTGATTGGGCGTCCACTTCAGTGTGAGGGTTTCTGCCGTCTGATGAAGGGACAGGTAACCGCGCAGCACCTCCATGTCCTTCTTCTGAAAAGAGCATCATTTTTTCAATAAAGCACACACAGCTTCCTCAGTTCCTCTTTAATGAAGTCTCACTAGTACACCGAAAAGAATTTGATATTAAAAACCTCAATTGAACCATAAAGCTAGTCTTTGTCATTTATGTACTGTACAAGTTCAAAAAAAACACTCACTGACCAGTGTTTTCTTTCTAAAATAATAAAAGATAAAACAATTTCGCTTTGTTCTCAATAGAGTTATCTCAAAGTTAAATAAAAGACCCCACTTCTATAATACACACAAACAATGACCACGTTTACATTAAGTTTATTTATAAACTTATTTTGAGAGGATCATGTGCTTATGATTGCTTGCAGCTGGTACAGCATTATTCAATTTTATGATTCACCAATCAGACGATTTCTAAGCCACAAAAAATACCCTAAGTTCTCCTTCTATCCCTACTCCTCCTCCTTTCCTGGATGGGTGGCACAGTGGCCCATTGCTTAGCACTGTTGCCTCACAGCAAGAACGTCCCTGGTTCTAGTCCTTAGCAAGCCAGCCGACATTTCTGTGAGGAGTGTGTGGAGCTTCCCCGGTTTCCTCCCACTGACCAAAAACATGGAACTAAAGTTAACTGACTAATCCAAATCGGCACCAGACATGCACCTACAGTAGTAAGTAGTTATCTCTTAAGAGCAATCACTATCTGTTCATTAGCTACAACAGCAGGGGAGTTCTCGAGATCTACCTGAGCTTAAACTCCCCTCTCAGCTTGAAAACAGGAGGGAGCCCCAGGCTTGAGGATTTTATGAGCTCAGGGCTCTCTCCCGGGACAGCATGCCAAACAAGCCTTAGAGTCAATCATCAGCTAAGTGTGAACTCTTGAAATGGACATCAGTAATTAAACTAATTGCCTTAATCTAATTAAGACAATATTATGAGGAAGGTGTTTACGTGAGTTGCTTTAAGAATGTTCTTTTTATGATCCTGTTTTACATGTTATACTACAAAATTCGATTGATGACATTGTGTCACCGCGCTATCCCCATTTCCTTCAGAGTTTCATGTAATTTCGGGTGTTTCATTTTAAATTTGTCGACTTTAACTGCAGTTTGGAACTTTCACTTTCATTCAGGAACATTTTATGCATGCCCCCTGTGACAAACGAGATATTAATTGCACACAGGAACTGCTGGAAGAGCCGCTAATTTAATCTTTCGGGTTTAAAATCATCTTTGGTGTGGGATCAAAATTGGTGACGTATCACGAATCTGCTAGTGGAGTGATGAAGTGTCAGTTTCTCTAATTATTCAAAGTGGAGTTTTATTATCCTATGAGAAGACCAACCCAGGCTCATTCTGAAAACGTAGTCCCTAGGGATGTTTCTGGAGAATGCAAATTATGTAGCCAGAGGTACGTATGGCTGCATTTCATTTTTTAAGAGAACGCTACGCGGCCATATGAGACGGTACCTTTTCACGCTAAGCGGCTGAACGCTTTCCCACCACAACCAGTTTGTCCAGTTAGCTAGTCGTGTACGTTGGCCGACTTGAGATGCAGAGAGGAGCTGACCATGAGGACGACCGGGTTCGAGTACGGGGAAGAGCGGTTCCAGAAATCAGGTAAGACAAAAACAGAATCCAAAAAATAAAGTGAACAAGTTCATAACAGGGTGAGAATATGTTAAAATCCGAAAACGTGGTAAAAATCAGATTTGTAAACTATTGGTTGGCTTTAAGAAAGTAAGCGGGTGGTTTACATGGTAGACTTTTAATCAGAGTATTGTCTTAATCATATTAAAAATATTAAAGATTATTGGTGTCCATGTACTGTACACATACTGTCTATCATTTTAAAAAGATTGACTTGTTCAATGAGAACACCACAAATGAATAAAAAATGTTTATTTTTTATTTTGTAATATTTACTTAATATATATATATATATATATATATATATATATATATATATATATATATCTTATATATCTTATATATATATCTTATATATATATCTTGCATGTATTTAGATAAATATTTATAGTCTCTCTCTTTTTTGAGGTAAATGTGACCCATTTTTCAGTGTACTGTTTTAAGAACATCATTCATTCATTCATTCATTCATTTTCTTTTCGGCTTAGTCCCTTTATTAATTTGGGGTTGCCACAGCGAAATGAACCGCCAACTTATCCAGCAAGTTTTTTACGCAGCGGATGTCCTTCCAGCCGCATCCCAACGCCTGGGAAACATCCGTCCACACACACCCTAAGGACAATTTAGCCTACCCAATTCACCTATACTGCATGACTTTAGACTGTGGGGGAAACCAGAGCACCCGGAGGAAACCCATGCGAACGCAGGGAGAACATGCAAACTCCACACAGAAACGCCAAGTGAAACAGCTGAGGCTTGAACCAACGACCCAGCAACCTTCTTGCTGTGAGGCGACAGCACTACCTACTGCACCACTGCATCGCCCAAGAACATCTTTCCATGGTTGAAACACTGATTTAGTGATTAAACAAGAAACATGATACACTAATCCCCTCACAAAAGAGCTTGTCAGTGCTGGTGTCTATCATGTTTTTCCCATCTTCTTGTCCTATAACAGTAAAACTGTATATTCATGTTTCTTGTTTAAAGACAATCTTGTCACGTCTCCCTTCACTCATAAGAGTTTTTTGCTGCTTATTCAAACTACTTATATGAAATGAGCTGAATCAGCACCATTCTTTAGTTTTTGGGGGGACAACTTAATTTGTTTTATGTTCAAAGTTAACTTAATCTATTTGTGTTGGGAGAACATAAAGGAATTGAGCGGAAGTCAGCATTTTTAACAGTATTTTTTGTTTGTTTTCAGCTGTGAAATTATAGAAAAATCAGCAGTCGTACATACTTAGTTCATAAATTAACACAAAAAAGAGAACAAATGAGAAAAAAGGTGTCAAATTGCAGAACGAAAGAAAAGTAACAGAGTGACATAAATAAAGCTTCTCTGATGATTTACAGTGACAATTAGAGCTGCAAGAACACATCAGGATTCCCACAGAAATCCAATTAGACCTGAATCACCATGATGCTTTTGGCAAAGGTCTTTTACACTATTGATTTCTACCGGTCCCTGCCAGACCCAGCACTCTCTGTGCCCAGTTCCATCAGTCACCATTGCGAATCTCACAGACATTCATGCACACATTTAGTCCATGCCTGACTCATCTGATGACAAATCTAATGTGCTGTAATGGCTAATCCCGCTAATCTGCCTTTTCCAGTTCACAAGAGTAGCCAACTTTTAGCCAGGAAGTCAGCATGGACCAAAGAGCTAAATATGCTAGGAATACCAGGAGACGGATCCATCGGTCCATTCATTACATGAGGGAAGACAAAATTTTGACTGGTGGAGATCAATGATGTTTTCTTCACTAATGGATGAGCTCCATTATATTGATTAGATTAGATTCACTGCAGTACAATTGATCTGTTTTGTAACAATCATCAGCTCCACCGAAGACGATAATTTCGTCATTCAGCTGAGGGAAGATATTTAATTGTTGATTCGTTTTGCAGAAGTCGCCAATTATGAATCTAACTCAATTCAGCTAAAGACAATAGTGCACTTATTAGGTTATTTAGAGTCAGTTCAATGCTGATTCAGTTCTGTTCAATACAACTGTTGATGTCAATCATGAAAGAAGTTCAATTCATCTGTAAAGCAACTCTTCTGAAGACGCATCATCAGTTGGCTATGTTGGAAAGCAGAAAGTAAACAATGGCAGTGATCTGAATGAAACTTGTTTATTGTGCTGATTACTGCTGCTGGAAATGAGCAATTATTGTCATGTTTTGGCTTGTACTAATCAGTCAGAAAAAAATAAACATTCAGAATAACAAATAAAGCAGAATAAATGTAATTTGTCAAAATATTGGTCTTTTCCTGCTTCTGAAGTCATTCGTTATGTGATTTAGCAGCTTTTTCTGTGGTTTAGACAGCATAAATTAGCAGAAAAAAATGTATTCAATAGTGACAATCCATGCTGTTGTTTTCATCTGAGTATCAACAAAATGGTTGTACATATGGCTAACTGACGAAATGACACTCTATGGTGTCATTATACAGCTAAACTGATTATTTTAAAAAAATAAGAAGAAAAATATTATTGAACACTAAATGTCTTTTTAGCACACAAAAAACAAGTCAAAGTGTCATTTTGTTGCAAGGAAAAATTGTTAGTGCATTTTTTTTTTATCTTACCGGCTGCACGAGTACGTTGTTCTTCCCGTACAGTAAGTGAACACGTGAGTTTTGGTGCAGAGATTCAACATACTCTCTCGCTGAGGCTGCAAACTTATCCTCAGACATGCTTCCTGAGGACTGACGCTTTCGAATCTAAGAAAACAAAGAGAGGTATGAGGTACTGTATAGTCAGTTTAACAGTACAAAATTATAAATATACATATTTTGATGGTCTCCCTTAAAAACTCTGCTGACTAATGAGTAAACACTCATTATTAGAGAGGTAGTAGACTATTAGAGCTAATAATCTTACGTACTTACAAAGTAGGTAGAATATCTGTTGAAGGACCACCAAAATAAAGTGTAAGAAGATTTATTTTTATTAATTTACATTATTCAGTATATAAAGTAGCCTATTTCTAATGTTTTTTAACATTTACTAAGTAATTTTAACAGAAAAATTTATTTTGACATTTTTTGTTGCACAGAATGTAAATTGCATGAGTATATGTCACATCATTACATTTTAATATCACAAAAGGCCTATACATACACCCAAACTTAGACCCTCTCTCATCAGAAAGGTGGTAGAAAAGTGGAAAATAGGAGATGAATTTAACATCAGGTTTAAATAGTAATGTGTCTTAATTACCTTCACCTACCTCCACTTACTTACCTTGTCTTCCAATCAGCCAAAATTCACTAATACATGCACTGAGCCTTAAAATGACCATCAAAATGATCAAATACAAAAATACTGCACTTCATTTCATTAAGTTTACTTACATTTCATTTATTTCAATTATTTAGTACAAAAAGTAGCACTACTACATTAGTTTAGGTCACAATTAACGGTATTACCAAACAATTAACTTACATTACTATCTTAATAAACTACTAATTTGCTGTTTGTTATATTCAGTAATTTAGAATTTAAGTTAAAATTTTGGATAGGATTAGGGATGCAGAATAAATTCATATTTTATAACTACTAATGTACACTACTATAATATTATAACTACTAATATACTATAATACAGAACACTGAGCACCAAAACAGGCAGACACAGAAACGGGTTCCTCCCTCAGGCAATCCATCTCATGAACACTTGATTATAATTGAGGAACAAACACTATTCCATACATATACACCTATTTATTTACCAACATAAAAAGCTAACATTTTGATTTACACATAATATAGCTATACAGTATATACACTATTGCATGTACAGGGTGGGCCATTTATATGGATACACCTTAATAAAATGGAAATGGTTGGTGATATTAACGTCCTGTTTGTGACACATTAGTATTTGTGAGGGGGCAAACTTTTCAAGACGGGTGGTGACCATGGTGGCCATTTTGAAGTCGGCCATCTTGGACCCAACTTTTGTTTTTTTAATAGGAAGAGGGTCATTTGACATATCAAACTTATTGGGAATTTCACAAGAAAAACAATGGTGTGGTTTTAACGTAACTTTATTCTTTCATTAGTTATTTACAAGTTTCTGACCACTTATAAAATGTGTTCAATGTGCAGTTAAAACCACACCATTGTTTTTCCTGTGAAATTCCCAATAAGTTTGATGCGTCAAATGACCCCCTTCCTATTAAAAAAACAAAAGTTGAGTCCAAGATGGCCGACTTCAAAATGGCCACCATGGTCACCACCCATCTTGAAAAGTTTTCCCCTCACATATACTAATGTGCCACAACCAGGACATTAATATCACCAACCACTCCCATTTTATTAAGGTGTATCCATATAAATGGCCCACCCTGTAGTATCTTTGTATAGTATAGTATATAGTATAGTGTCTTCGTCCTCATTCTGTTGCACTGTGGATACTTCTGTCACAAAAACAAATACCTAGTTTGTAGAGTAAACATACATGCAGGTGGTAATAAAGTTCTTACTGATATCTTATTAATAGGGAGGTAAAAAGCAGGTAACTGTGACCTAAATGAAAGTGTGACCAGAGTAGCCTTTATTTAATATATTTCACTGCTTTATCATTTATTCATATTTTCTCACCCCCAGTGCAGGTCTGCGGCCGGGCGACACCTCCTGGCCTCTGTGGGCTCCATGGATTCGATGTCTCTGGACCAGCTCATTGGCTGATGGGTCAGTCCAAAAATGATCTGATGTCTTCAGCTTTGTGTATTCCAGTGCGCAAGGTCCAACTATAAATGAGGGGGAAAAAAATTCCCACAAAGCAAATTGTAATGTGATTAAAAGGGAATTAAAGCTGTAAATAAAAAGGTGTCAGAGAAAATGCTGAATAACAATCAATAGCAAACTCCTTTTGTATCTTTTTACATTGGACATGGTCAATCTACAGTGATCAATAAATCTCCATTAGCTGTATTATGCGAAGTGTTTTAAGCATCAGATGGACTCACCTAGCAGTGCCGCCAGTATGGGTCCAAACACAGAGTCGTGCATGAGAGCCTCCCTTTCATAATACTTACTACAGGCACACACAAAGAGCAAACACACACAAAGTATGTATGTCAATAACCTGAGAGCTCTATTAAAGGCTGAGTAAATAACCCATTATGTCATGAGCTCCACATGATGGTCCAAACAATCACCATGGACAAAAATAATGCAATTCGAGCCTTAATGTTGGGAAATTTTATCATGTGAATAGGAAAGATGAGCAATTCCTGTTACGTATGTAGTCGCTATTACTTAGCGAAAATAAAAAGATAATGTCCAAATGTCTACGCTATGGCTGCTAACTGGTTTGTTTGTTAAAAACAATTCATGTTGAACAGCACTCTCCAATCAAACACAAAATGGAAAGAGCTCAGAGAGTAGAATACAAAAACAAGATGACAAACATTAAAGCAGAAATCATCAAATATACTGATAAATTAACATTAAAATAACATTTTGTTTAAAAAACAATTACAATGAAAACTTAAAAGTGAAAACTAAATGCGAGACACAAAACACAAAAATATAAATATACCATTATATTACCTATCCATAATTGCACACTCTTGTACAAATGTAACGTGTATAATTACAAGATTGGCTTTCCTTTATTTCTTTTTTCTCTCTTTCTTGAAGAGACGGTGTAAACTCAACATTCATAAATGTAAGTGGCACGTCACGATTTTGCCAAGTACAATGCAATCATAAATTAACATCTATGTTGATCCTGGAACATCATTTTTCTTGGAAAATGTAATCCATACCTATCCCCTACCCCTAAACCCAACCATAACTGTTAATTATTTCCAAAATTAGAGGGGAATAATAGTGCATAAACCTAACCGTAAGCCTTAACATAATTGGTAAACGTATGCCTTAATTCTGATTGGTTGGAATGTTGTTCCAGAATTAACATAGATGTTAATCCAGAAACATGTCTTCCTTGGTGAAATCTGGTTGGTGATTGTAAGTGTACCTAAGTTAGCCCAAGGGTTAATTTTCACTAAAAATGCCTTATTTATAGTTGTTATTAGGTATGACATGAAAGAATAGCATCAGTAGTTTACAGAATAAAACAAAAATAAATACTCATTACATTTAGATTTTTCTAGTGTACAATGATAAATCATAAATCTAGCAAAGGCAAACTATATATATGAGATTTTTGATGAGAAGTAGTTCTTCTGACCTTACAAACTCACAATTATTGGTGAAAAAGACCAACTGCTTTTGTCTGTAATGTCTTGTCTTAAACGTGTGAATCTACCATTACAACATTATAATGTTAGGTACAAAAAACATATATGTTGAGAATTACTAAAGAGTACAGTGTTTTTAAACTATAATCTTGCAATGTGAATTACACTTCAATTGAAATGCAGCCAGAACAGCGGCCAGTTACCTTGCATTATCCACAATATACTGCACAATCTTGTCCAAGACTTTCTCAAAGAGGGCAGTGCGGACCCATATGTGCTTGATAGCCTGTGCGGAGAGTGGCTGAGGGGCCCGTCCGGTAGAGGAACCCTGCCTCCTGAGGGACTCCTGTCCTGTGCTCTGGGTTCTCCTGGAGGAAACCATCAATATCAATCACATTAACAAGAGTCAACATAACAAAATACTCTCAAAACATGATCAAACAGAACATTATTTATTTATTCTCCTTAAAAAATACATGGATTTGATTTTTTTGTTTTGTTTAATATTTTAGACTTGCTTTGACTAGGCCTCTCATTCTGCCCTTACATTATATTTGTCCTCACATAACCTTCTAAAAATGCCACACTTCATTTGTCTGGCCTTATGAAATAAGTGCGAGACACAAAAGGCATCATGACTGTGCCTGTCAGCAGGTGTTTCGAAGTGTTTGCCAGTCTATATCCTTCTCAATGCAGCCTCTCAACAGGATGAGATGCTCATCTACAGCAGTGCAGCGACAGACATAAAGCCACTCAAACCTGCCAGGTCATTCAGTCATGAACACAACACACACACACACATAATCAAACATAGAGCAAGTGTAGCCCCATCTCAGAGAATTACAACTGATAAAACTCTCAGAGTGACACCACAGCCAGAACATTAGGAGCATTTGTCATTTGCAACTCAAAACATCAACAACAGCTTGTTCTTCTTATTCTGAAGAGCACTTTTGGACAAAATCACTGTAGAAATAACAGCAATGAAAATTTGTGGTTCACTAATGGTCACCAAGGGTTGCTTGGGTGTCTTAAGTTTTAGCTTTTGGAAATCTAGCTTCATTTTTAAAGTGTCAACACTGAGCAACAAATGCTAACTTAATGTATATTTATAACTGATTAGGGACAAGTACGAACAACGATTATTCTGCCTGTTAACTTTTGCAACCAAGAATTATATGATGTCATGGATCAATAAAAAAACCCTTTCATGAAGGGATGAGATTCAATCATTCAAGAGACTATTCCCCTGGAATATTTAACATGTCTGCCACAACGGATACATTTATTCGCACTTGGTCACGATATTTGGACAATATAAACCTTGCCGTATGTGACATTTTACAACTCAGAATGACATAATGTGCTTATGTACATTCATTCATGTGTGTTGGTTTGTATGGTTTGTAGCACAAAGGTTTATGGCTTTTGCCATGTGTATATTTCTGTATTTGCAGTTTTGTTTTTGTGTCAGGCATTCTTGTTGTGTTTGCAGTTTTATTTTGTGTATGTACATGGAAAAAATAAAATAAAAACATGTTTAAAAAAGTGTTTATTGTGAGTTTAAGTTCAACATTTTCAAGAAAAGTTTAAATGAATGAGAAGATAGTCATTTCCTGCTGAAGTTAGAAATATATACTTTACACATTCTCCATTTGTGGCATCAGTTATGCGTGTGCGTGAGTAAACACAATGTGCCAACACTGAGCGATACTTGCACCCATTATCATGAATGAAATGAAAATGAAGGAGAAGAGAGTTGTTTTCTGCTGAAATTGAGCAGAAACTGAAACATTCATTCTCCCTGCTTGTAATGCAAATGAGAAAAGTAAGTAATCACATAAATAAATACACCAAAAAATAAAATGGTGCAATTGCGTTCATATTAGAAGAGACCCATTCCAGAGTAGACGGACGGACTCGGGTATGGTGAACATGTGCGCACCAAAGATCCGAAAACTGTTCACACAAGCAAAACAAACTGAACTCTACATTATCTGACTAAAGTCTTGTCGCCTATCTAAATGTTGGAAACATCAAATAATACCTTGACTTCTGGTTGATCATTTGGTATCAGAAATGGCTTATACGACAGGCAAAGGCCTCTAGATTAAACTAATTTTACCTAAAAAAAAATATGATTATGCCTTGGTTTTTAATAATTTAAGTAGGACAGTAACTTCTCACTTTGTTTGGACAAAAGTCTTGTCACTTAACAGAAATAATGTACAGTATAGAATATAAAGTCATGGTGCAGTGGAAAAAGAATTAATATTGTGTATGACTCCCATGAGCTTGGAGAACTGCATCCATACATCTCTACAATGACTCAAATCACTTATTATTAAAGTCATCTGGAATGGCAAAGAAAGTGTTCTTGCAGGACTCCCAGACTTCATCAAGATTCTTTGGATTCATCTGCAATGCTTCCTCCTTCATCTTACCCCAGTCATGCTCAATAATGTTCATTTCTGGTGACTGGGCTGGCCAATCCTGGAGCACCTTGACCTTTTTTGCTTGCAGGAACTTTGATGTGGGGGCTGACATATGAGGAGTGCTATCCTGCTGAAGAATTTGCCCTCTCTTGTGGTTTGTAATGTAATGGGCAGCACAAATGTTTGATACCTCAGGATGTTGATGTTGCCATCCACTCTGCAGATCTCTTGCACACCTCCATACTGAATGTAACCCCAAACCATGATTTTTTCACTTTACACATTGGGTCCATGCAGGTTCCAATAGGTTTTTTGCAGTATTTGTGATGATTGGGATGCAATTCAGCAGATGATTCAGAGGACAAATCTACCTTCTGCCACATTTCCAAATGATCAACTAGAAGTCAAGTTATTATTTGTTGCTCTTTCAACAAGTTAGTCGAAAGTGACAAAATAAAACTTTTAGAGTCTAATCTAGACTTTAAAAAGCATATTCTTAATAATCCAAAACATTTGAATTTTGTGTTTAACAATTGCATACTTTTCAGTCATCACTGATTGTTGTCAATGAAAGCAAGACACCAGCTCTAGGGTGACACACAGTTGCTGCTGCATTCAGAGAAATCACAAAAGATCCAAGAAAAAAAAAATCTTGCTTTAGGGTACTGTCAAGTTAGTGTGAAAGACTGAAAAGAGATGTTCATAAAAACAGTGGCACCAAGGAAAACAATGAGAGAGTAAAAAAAGACATAGTGGAGATCAGCACGTTTGAGGAAAGTTTCTAGTTATTTGAACTTAAAATGGGCCTGTTATGCTAATTTTGTTTTGGAGGTCACATTATAAAGGTTTACGCATCCATTCAATGTCAAAATAACACTTCAAACTTCCTCGTAAAATCCTATCCAGTATCAACTCTTTTCTCAGTGTCCGAAATGGTTCATTCAGAGATCAGGTTTCTTTAAACTCTGCTTTTCAACCGTTTATACTGCTCTGATTGGTCAGATTCTCCATTCTATAGTAACTGGCATAATTAATTTAGAAATTGCAGGAAAATATTTAGTCAGCGGTCTCAAAATCTAGAGATAGACTTTCTTAAAAAAATAGATGCATAGTTTGTGAAGACACCTATGCACCCACATTTAGGTTAAACAGTAAAACATTACTGTAAGTGCAATCATTCATGGTCATTCATTTATTGGTGCAGGAATGCAAACTTGTTACCATTGGATGTCTTAAAGAATCACATATCTGCTGAAATATCCAAATAAGTTTGATTCATAAATTAGAAGCAATTGAATTATATATTTGGTTCACTGAAGCATGTATTTGTATTAGACAAATCAAGATTACAGAAAAAACTTCTAACCTCACTAAAAGTACAATATAATTGGCATACTGGCTACAACTACAGTGTTTGAGGGTCAATGTAGCCAATACATTGTCACAAATTTAAAGCTATTCTAAATAGGGTTGTGCAGAAAGTAAGACTGGAATTACTGACGTCTCCTTCAAAGCAGTTCAGAATTGGCTCTTTCTTCAGTGAGACAATAACTCCAGTTAGTCATTGTGAGCTCTGTTTGGAGGCTGTGGAGTGCTGGGAAGACTGCTGTAATGTTGAGTGCACAGATGAGGGAGTCCATCATGGGCGTAAGCCAATAACAGCCCACAGCCATCAATCTCCCTCCAGCCCGGACATCACGGTACAGCACAGCTGCAGGCGCACCACAGATGGATGAGTCTGCTGTCTCTGCCACTGCGCCCTCATCTTCTCTGATTTACATATGCATTGATCCTATAACGGCCTACTATTTACACTATGTGAGCGTTGGCCACAGCGATGGACATTCAGAATAAACAAACAAATAAATCTCTGCACCTGAGATGAGCTATGCAGATGCTATGGAGATGAAACTGTGCATTTCTGCTCCAAGAGCAATAATGCTGGACACCCGGCACTTCTGCTGAGGCCCATTAATAAAGATGAAGGGAGAAGAGCTTCTGTAATCAATCCACAAATAGCACATACAGTATATTTGTATAGGGATTACTTACTTACTCCCAGGGATGTTTACATCGAAGTTGATTTTTAGCCGCACCATGTTGGTGTTCTGTAACATCTAATGTTCACGAGGATCAGGACATACTCATACACTACAGACAATTTAGCTCACCTAATTTACGTATAATGCATGTCTTTGAAGTGTGGGGGGAACCGGAGCACCCGAAGGAAACTGATGCCAACACGTTGAAAACATGCAAACTCAACACAGATATGCCAACTGACTCAGCTGGGGCTCGAACAAGTGACCTTCTGCTGTGAGGCGACAACACTACCCACTGTGCCACTGTGCCACCCCTGTATAGGGATTAGATACACTAAATATCTAAGGGTTGTTTATGAAGCGACAAAGAAAGGTCTGGTTGGCAGGACTAACAGCTGCAAAAAAGATAATTGCGCAAAGATGGCTTGCTCCTCATTCTTTATTTATTCGGCAGTGGCTATTTCAGATTTATGATATAGTATTGTTAGAACTTTCAACAGCCCGAATAAATAAATCTAGAGCCTCAACTCTTGATGCATGGAAAGCAGCTGCAGACAAACTGCCAGAAAGACTCATGGATAATAGAAATCAATGTGCAACAACCTGAATCTTTAAATCCCTGATACTTAAAGTCTGTGTGGTTTTTTACTTACTTTTGTTAGTGTATTACTATGTGTGTATGTATGTAGGTATGTGTGTACGGACATGTATATGTATGAGCAGATTTATATACATGTATGTATATGTGTTTTATTTTCTATAATATTATAGACTGTACATATTCCCTGTATTTATCATGTGTGTGTTTAAGATATGTGTATCTTGTGTTTATGTATATATTTTCTGTAAGTTATTTGTCTTGATTGCAATGCTATTTGTGGGATGGCATGGACTTTGGCACCGCTGGGAGATGGGGTGGGTGTTTTTTTGTTTATGGTTAATTGTTGTTTATGACAACATTTATATGGTTTTGCTTTGTATTTTGTTTAAGTAATATGACGCGATTAGCATATTGCAACCTTTGCAGAGATGACTAAAACCCCAATATGCTTCAGAGGAAGAAAAAAAAGGACCAAAATCAAGCCAAAGTGAAACTTGTTTCATGAGTTTGTAACCAGCTTGCCAAAGCAAACTTTTACTTTGCATAGTAAACATATTTGAGCTTCCATTTGTCTGATATGAGGATGCAACTGGTAGGTGTGGCTCTAAGGCTTCACCTTATTATAAGAATCTCCAGTTCATTTAGTATGTTCAGTTGGTAAGGATCCAATATCCATGAGTAAAAACTAACACTGAAAACTTTATTTATTATGTATTCGTCTGAGGCCCCAGAATAAGCATGTTTGTACATTACATTTTAGTGAATTTCACAGTTTTAATCTACTGTACTTATGTATAGAGTACATTCAGGACTTTTCAAAAATACCAAATGTTTTACTATGAACACTTCTTCTCCTCTTTAAAACTAGCTGACATTCATTTAATGACCTAGTTTAGTATAACATTCTTATGTGTGTATGATAACATTATGTATTTATCGTTATAATCTCAAAAAGTGTTTGTCATAAATCAACATCTCTGGAATTATTATGGGGTTTCAAATCAAAATATGACTTTCTGTTATGAAACATGGCCTTGATTTTATACACTGTAGTGGACATCGATAAAAAATGAACAGAAAATAAATGATATTTCATTAGTCCTACAATATAAAATAATTTTTTTCTTTATTTTATGTAGCCACAAAAATTCATTAACATGCCATTTAAATACAGTGTATAGATATATTGCATGCAATGGAAAAACCTTCTTCCACATTCTGTTATTTCATTCATAACATAGCTGAGACTAATCTTTAAACAAAGGTTTAAAAAATTTTGAAACCTAAAATAAACATGACGATTAAAACTAAAAATCTATTGATTTTGTCTATTAATGTCACTATTCAAACCAATAAAAAAGGCGTCTGCTACAATAGACACTGAATAACATTTGAACAAAATATAATTCTTCAAAACTGATCATTTTTCATTTCTTATGCTCCACGTAAAGACATGAAAAATCAATAGGTCTCACAAGAATATAATCAAATTTAGTATGATCATTAATTATGTTATACAAGTGAATAGGTACGGTTAAAAAAAAAACATTGTTTAATGTTAACATAAATAAATCAGTTTAACAATGCATTTTATTTTACAAAAGCCTTCTGCTGTAGGTAGGCTAAATAAAATCACAACTTACATGACAGCAATAAATTATATGAATGAACCAATAAAGTATACATGTGTCTGGAATGCATTATTACAATAAACAGATGTGTATCTGCTTTTTTAAAGCTGTGTTTCAGCTCTGAAAGGCAGTGGTATAGGCATTCAATAACCAGCGAGCATCTAGTTGCTTTAGTGATGGTGACACCATGGTGTTGCTGTGGCAATGCGAGTTACACTGTGCCTGTCAGTGTGTGTGTGTTCAGTGGAGGAGGGGTATTAAATGGACAGGCAGGGAGCACCGCACAACATGTGACTCCACATTAATTCTGCAAATACGTGTCTGTGAGTGTGTTTGAGCAGCTACTGTATGAACACAACAAAGTGGTTTTGACTAATCCCTGACCACAACCGAGATGTTGAGCCACCTGGAGATTGTTGCTATTAGACCAGAGCGGTTGACTCTTGAGTGGCACATTGGCCATGTGGCTCTGCTAATGGAGAGTTAATGGGGAAATAAGGAGCTGACCGAAGCCCTGCAGCATCCGCCCAAACCATCCCTCATTTACAGTGCCGCAGAGCCAGTCCTCTGTGTAAAGCCTGACAAAACAAAGCAGATCATGCCTCTCCACACACCAGATGTGATCTGCTTCCTGCTTTCATCATGAGCTGCTTATCAGTCATAAAGCACTGCTGATATCGCTAATTTGATCAGTTGCAGTTTATGGCTTTCTGTGTCTTTTAGTATCTGCTCTTAGAGTTAATAAGCAGAATGAGTGACTGCTGAAAGCCATTTTTAGCACAAAAAGGATTTCTTGTATCGCCGTTTAAAATGCAAAACATATCTTTATAGTGATATGTTGACATTGAGCTAAACAAATGGTATAAACTTGGATTTTGTTATCTTTATTCATAGCAAGGACGATGAATAGAATCATAAATAATAAAGTTTCAATATCTGTTTCAGTCCTGTGAAAAAGGGATGTTCACACCACAGCACAGCAACACAACCACAGCAATACAAAAAGAAGTACATACAGTTGAAGGCAAAATTCTTAGGGCTTCTGGTTAATTGTCATCACATAAAAAAATTGCCACATTTAAGATCTGATTTCTTTAAAAAAAACTGTCATCTTCACTGCCTGGTCAAGATACAATATAAAGCCTGTATCAGACCAAACAATAAGCACTGCATTTCTATAATTCTATTTTTCTGCACCATGTCTTTAAAATATGGAAATTAATGGAAATTAATTTTACCCCAGTATTTTAAATGGAGTTTTTAGCCTGCTGCCTATGTGGGCACTAGCATTTACACGGTCTTTCATCTCTTTTTTAAGCTTTAACAACCAAATGGATGCTAAATTCCATTTAACTGATTACATTTGAATTACATTACAACATTGATGCTGTAAAATAATCATTATGAAATTGAAAATAGTCAGGTGAACCTTTCACCCGAAGTTCATCACTGCCTGAAAAACATTAGCTGTGAAAATTAGTTTGAGTGGACAGCTCAGACAACTTGCAGAAAAGTAAAAACCTTATCACATAGAATCCAATAAAATCATAAATTGTGGATCAGGATGGGGCCAAGACAAAGTCTCTCTCTGATCCCCCAGGCCTTGCATTGGTTGTGGAAATTCCAAATTGAACCATAGCATACGATTACAACTGGCTTACAATGAAAAGTCAGAAAAATCATCAACCAGCAGAGCCTGGGAATGAAAAAATAAATTAATTTTAAAAAGCATAAATTGTGGATTGGGGTGGGGCCAAGTCAAAGTCTCTCTCTGATCCCCTGGGCTCTGCAATGGTTGCAGAAATTCCAAATTGAACCAAAACAAACAACTACAATTGGCTTAAAATGAAAATTTGGGGAAATCATCAACCAGCAGAACCTGGGAATTTAAAAAAAAATGAATTAATCAATCAAAATAATCATAAATCTTGATTTATTTCCCCACAAAATTATGACATGATCTTTTTGCCATATTGCCCACCCCTACTTGTACCCAATCAAAAATGTGTCCAAATTTGAAGAAACTCTTAAATTTAGAGCATGACATAACTGCATGTGAACTGGAAGAATAAAGATGTTTTGCTAAAGCTTAAGTTTGCTAAAAAAAAAAAAAAAAAAAAAAAAAAAAAAAGCTATTTGTGTACAATGCGAGGTCATACCTGGTGATTTCAGCCTGCTGCTGCAGCTGTTCTTGAACCTTGCGGCAGATCTCGCTCACTGTGGTGTTAACTTTGCCGATCTTAGTGAAGAGGGCAGCAATTTTATCACTGCGGAGGAATCCTGCCGCTCTCCTTTTCAGCAGGTGGCTTAAGCAAGCCTCGATGGAGCCTGCAGGAACATAAAAGGAGGAGTTTATAAGATCAAACAAAAATGCTGGATACACTTAAGCAATTACCATCTTATTATTTCCAACTGCTTTGTGAATTTCTTTAATAACAACCATTTGTTCTCACGCGTCAAGTTTTCAATTCCATTTCTTTACCAGGGGGCTTTGCTATCGATGAACTGGCATGATGCAAGGGAAAATCTTATTGCAGGAGTAATTGCGTTCAGCTTGATACTCGTTTTCCTTTTGTGAGGTAAACAGCCATGACGGGAGTCGCAATTGCAACCGGGAATGAGATTTACCACCAGTTCCTGGAGCACAGCTAAATATTTTACTAAGGCAGAGTCAAGGCGAACTACCTGTTACCATGCCTGCTTCTTCTGGGACTCAGTTGCCTCAAGCGCTCCGTGCTCACTTCCAAAACAAATAAACATCACCAACAGTTCCCCAGTCCCCTTATCTCACCGATGAAAGATGGAGAGGATGCTCATATTGGTGCAAAAGGGGCGGCTAATGCGTTCGTCTATCTTTTTTGACAAGTAGCCAAGTTCTCGTGCGACATAAATCAAATCGCACGACTCGAGGAGGCCCGCTCAGCAAATGAAATCAAAATTATCTTTTTACACAATAGCAATGAAAGGCCTGTCGTCAGATTTGCATCTGCCGTGACAGCCGAGTAAAGTCTACCTGTCGACTCACAGCATGATTGATGCTATCAATATCTCAGCAGAATTGAGGCCCTGCTACATAATCGACTGCATTTGTGAAAGCAATCAGATGTTTATGGCCGTAATAGCACTTTTATTGCTTTGGTTTGTGCCACCGGGGGCAGCAGCTTAAGCATTCTCATCTTCAAGTTTTACTCTTTAAGAGTCTGTTTCATACATTTAGATGGCTAAAGCCACATTTATGAATGGGAAATGCATGCAAACTGACTCTCAAGAAAGGGTCAAAAATATATTGTAGAAACTACATGTCAGAAAGATTTTCTTTCTTTTTAGAATGTTTTTTTTTAAGCAATTTTTAAATAAATGGATCAGAAATGACAATAAACACATGAATATGTGTTATATTCAGTGTTGGGAAACTTTAAAGTTATGCATTACAATGCTAAGTTTCTTCTCAAAAAATGTAACTAGTTGCATTACTTGCTTTTTCTGGTAAGAAATGTGTTACGCTACATTTGAGTTACTTTTGCTTTACTTTAATTTACCTTTACTGAGGCTTGATCTCTTTCAGAACTTGCAGGTGTTTTTCTTGTTTGTTTGTCTGTTTGTTTGTTTTTTTGAGAAACTCTGCAATTAACAACATACTAAACCTTCATTTACTTTAAAAACACACATCAAAAACTAATAATTTAGGAATTTTTTTTAGCCCAGAGCTATACATGTCGTATATTCAGACTAATGAACCTTTAAAGCAATGGGTTTGCTACTTTTGCACTTTTTGTCTTATGAAGTAAAATCATTGTGCATTGAGACAATCCCCTTTGCATTTCTTCAAGGTGTTCATAATAATTTGGATAATTCCATCGCAGAAATGTAGTGTCTATCATCTTGGTTTCTGTTTGTTCCTGCATTCTCTTATTAAGTGTGGGATTTATTATTACGAATTTCGTTTTAATTCTGCAATTCATTTTTTTAAAGATAATTGTTTAAAGGTGCGGTATGTAAGTTTGACAACTAGTGGTTGAACTAGATATTGCACTCCTGGATCAAAACACACGCAAATGCAGGTTGCCAGATTGACGTAAGTGTACCTGAATATCGAGCCTAAAAGGCTGATTTGAACCACTTTTTAATTAAATGGCACAAGATAGAATTAATTAAATGGCACGCGATAGAAGAATTTTTTTAAACAAATTTTTTTGTCCTAATCAACAACTGATATGTTACGATTGACCGGGTGAGTGAAGGCAAAAAGTGTCACAGAAGCCGCTGGTGAAAGTGAAGTGATTTATTTTACACAAAGTGAAGACAAAAATCCAGCATGATATGTCTATTTTACTATCAGCTTCAATTTCTCACAGGTAAACAACAGGGTAAACACTGATCACCCCAGGTGCACCTCATGTGCTTTATTCAGTGTGAAAGGCTAATAATGTGAGTTTGAATGGCATTTTACATGACATTTATTGCCATACTACTAAAGGTAGCAGCAGATCTTGAAAATAAAATAAACCATGTGAAATTGAACTTTGGAACTGTGACTCAGTGCAAGCCAAATTACAAAACAAATATCAATCATTTAGCATGTACATATAATAATGTTAAAGAGGTTTAATGTGTATTAATTAGATGATAAACCGTACCATTTCATGAGTAAGTGCATATTCCGTTCTTCTGAACGGCTGTATTTTAAGTTTCTGTCGTGTTTGTCTAGTGCAAACAGCCAAATTGCTTATCACTGCATATCTCATCATGTAGCATGTTGTAAGGGCATGCTGTTACAATGTAACCTGCTCACCTAATGTTTACATTTGTAATATTTACTTATTTGATAAACTAATAACCTAATGTGGAACTCTGAATCTGTGTCTCATTTCGAAGTCTGTTACTGTCCACCGAAGGTCATATTTTGGTCGCTGACACATGCTTTAAGAGCCTTTCTGACTAAATGGATCAAATACACGTTCTTCCAGCAAGGCAACCCGGGGTTCTGAAATCAAATTGGCTAAACTAGTATTTGGGTGGGTTAAAATAGCCAAAACAAAGACAGCTTTCCGGGCACGGAAAGCACAGTTTCAAAGCAGAATATTTGACTTCAGCGTTATTTTTCAGATAAACAAGAATGCTGACTTAGCATGTTTCTTAAATATTTGCAAACATATTATGGTATTTTTATGCTTTAGAAGAGTCAAAAACTTACAAACAGCACCTTTGAACTAAAAAGCAACTCACATTATATATATATATATATATATATATATATATATATATATATATATATATATATATATATATATATATATATATATATATATATATATTAAAAACAACTAGTATTTTAATAAAGTAATGCGTTACTTTTCTTGTTAATATTATTACTTAACTTGCATTACTTGTAATTTCTTATCCACAACACTGGTTTATATGTGTTATGCGTTATAAATGTGGCATTTCTTTACTTATTTATTCAACAAATAATATCACTTGAGCACCAAATCAATATGTTAAGATTTTAAGAAGATAACATTTCATATCTTCCAAATTAATTAATTTATTTTTTTCGGAAAATGTGAATGCAAATCATGGTTAATCAAACAAATATTGATTCCTTACCTTGTCAGTGTTTTAAACATTGGTGTTGTGTTGCTTAAAAATGATTAAAATCAAGTATTGCGCTATTTTATGCAGAATAAACATTTTTCTATATGACATTGTTACTTACAATTCACAAGAAATGTCCATAAATAGTTCACGGAGTAAAAGTGCTACATAATTGACATTTTTAAAAGCAAACAGATGTTTATGGCGGTAATAGCTCTTTTATAGCTCAGTCGGTGCCACCGGGGGCAGCGGCTTAAGCATTCTCATCTTGTTTTATACATTTAGCCAGTTAAACTGCACATGCATGAATAGGAAATCCATGCAAACTGGAGATCAACACCCAAGAAAGGGCCAAGAAAGACAACAACATTGGTTTTCATTGAGCTGTAGAACCCAACGATGCAGAAAGAAACCTGATCAACAAGCTGCAAATATGTTGCTAATCTACACCACTAATTTCACACTATACAACAAGATGAATCATCTAAGTGGCTGCTGAGTGCTTTCCCCTTGAGAACTCAGCACGATTACTGTCCTCTCCCAAAAGAGGCTCTGATTTAAACAGTAAAGCCCTGAGAGGATCTCTGAGGACTGGCACTTCCTGTGTTTCTTGGTTCTATCATCCAGAGAGCAACAAATGTGCAGACAAAGCGCCGTGCAGTTGAGAAGTGAGCTGAACACTCCTGAAGATGCATTTACATAATCTCTCTGTGCTTTTGCTGCAGCGCACGTCTTCCTGTATGCTTCCATACACCCACAATATTCTGTTCTCACGCTCGGTCCGATGTATTCAACAGTATCATGCAGAAAATAATGCACATAACCAATCTGCCAGTTGTTGTTGTTTTTTTTTTTACAACTTTAGATGGTTTAAAGTTAAATTTTAACTATTTAAGTAGTCACTAATAGCTTGTAACAGTAAAAGTTAATATATACAAACATAGTCAACCTGCAGTTATATAGCATATACTGTGTATGATGTCCATGTTGTCTCAGCTTGTTTTAAATAAATAGTTTGAACAAAAAGCAAACATCATTTTTTTAATTTACATTTCGACTTTTTTGAAGATTTTTATTTGATCTTTTTTCAGTTTTTGGGTTCAGTGATATTTCTTTTTTTATAGAAAGCAATATTTTTGTTTAGCTGTGTTATAGGTGGATCAGGAAAGACAATAAACATATTAAATGTTCTAAAAGATTCATATGGCGATTACGTTAAAAAAAAAAAAAAATAAAAAAAAATTTTTACTTTCTACATTGAAGTAATGCCACTATTTGAGCACCAAATTAGTATGTTACAATTATTTCTTATTCTGTAAAGGTCTGATAACACGTCACTCTAAATGAGTGCTCAGCCAAACAGAAAAAAGAGCAAAAATATATTCAACAAGTTGGCAACACCAAAGCTCCAAAAATATCAGTTTATTAAATTAAAAAGGCTATCACAAACTGAGGCGCTAAACGATATTATATCGAATTGAGATTAAATGTATGTCAATAACAATTACAAGCTCAGGACTGATCTAAGAGCCAATCACACAGCAGAGGGAATCTAGTAATGTGTTGATATTAGTGATGCACCGAATTTTTGGCTGCCAAATATTATAGCCCTCCATAAATATGGTATCATGCAGAAAAATAATGCACATAACCAACCAGCTAACAATGACTGAAAATGGCTTTGTTTTTCTAATGATAATTTAATAGCTATGTGTATCAGAAATAAAGGCAAT